AACCAAGGAAGTGATGATGCTCGCAAGTCCGTCGATAGCGCCAATAGCGACGCGTCATCCAGCGTCTCGAAGAAAAACAGCAACGGCCCTGTCCAGGCTTACAAGGACTACCAGAGCAGGAGCAGAGACTTGCATCGCCAGCACAGAGGCCTGATGCAGTGGCGTCCGATGCGTAACGTGCAGTTCGCCAAGGATGAAGCCAAGTACGCTGTGCGAAAGATTACGAAGCTCGGATCTCTGAACGGACGCAAGCCCGATGTCGAGACGGAGGTTTAATGATAGTTTCCTTTATTCACCACAGGAACAGAAGGGAAGCAAGGGAATGGGATATGGATAACGGTCTTTTGTTTTCGCAAGTCTTCTGTAATGTCTACGAAGCATATCTAAATGACGCAAATTGCGATGATGGGGGCGTTAGGAAATGTATTTGTAGTCAAAGCAGGCAAATGAAGTTTTGAATCAGTCGACGTTCTTGTTGAAGCATGTGCCCTTGAGTTGAGTATATTGTAAACTTATAATGTTGGCCAGATTTGGGCTTTCTTCGACCCAGGAACAGGAAACACGGAAAGAATCGGAAACCACAAAAGAAACACAATAAGTCCATGTATGCATGAATAAAACTAGTTACCCCTAAACTCTATCGGCCTCTAAATCTGAAAGTCTCATTCCAACCAGCCTTCACCGGCTCTGACTCTGACATACGGGCCCGTATTCCCTCAGCCAAATCCTTCTCAATCTTGCATCGACCATTTTCTCCCGCCTTTCGATACCAATCAGCCAACATGAGTCTTATTTGCAAAGCTCTAGTTTGGCATTTGCGGTCTCCATCTCGAAGCCTCTTTGCAAGAGCACCCAAGCTGACCATCCAACATTGCCCTTTGCCTTCATCTCTATTGATACGCGCCAGAAGCTTGCAAGCAAGCACATGAGCATAAGTTTCCCTTCCCCAAGTAGGCTTATTACCAAGCCTATCCGTCCTTTCCTTGAGATTTGTAGCTAGCTTAAAGATCAATGAGCTGTCTTGGCCATGATAATTGGCCATGTACATGTACTCTGTAAGCAAAGAAATTGTACGTTCATCACACAACCCAAATTCCACCTCAGCGCTCTTGACGACCTTGTCGTAGCTTGGCAGAACGTGCTCCCCCAGCTTTCCTGGCCAGTACTTCAAAAAGTGGCCCGTCATTGACAGAACCACGGGATGAAAGTTGCCCAGGTAGCCCATGAAAAGGTCAATGCAAAGCTGGTAGACTCGTTCTACTGGCAACTTAATGTCTTGAAGACAGAAGAAACGTAGTGACTCGAGAGCGTATACCATAGGATCTTCTGCGTCGAGGCTTATCTTGATGAGTCCTATGATGCCCGTCAAAAAATTCCCAACTAGATGGTCGTCTCGATTCCGCGCCAGGACTAAAGAAGAGACCTCCGTTTTTCTGGGTTCAAGTCGGAATGCGATACCTCTCATGTAGAGAATTATCCTCCATATATAGACAAGCATCCATGGATCCTTCTTCTGAAGTAACTTGTCAAAGAGGGACAGCGCCTTGTGAAGGGTCTTCTGGCATTTCCCGTTGGTATCGTCTTGCCGCGTCACCAAAATAGAGGCACCGTGGCATTGGTCGGACACAGCCTTCCAATCGCCCGAAGAGTCGCAATAGCCTTTCGGGGGATTGAGACTGAAGAAGTCGCCAGTCCATCCACTGACTCCATCTGATCCGCGGTCGAACACCCGCATGAAATAACCCCACACATTGAAAAGCATTTTTTCCAGCTGGGCGAGCCTCGGATCATCTGGTGCCAGCAGAGAAAGATGTTTATCGAGTCGATATGCAAGTTTCTCAGAATCTTGGAACTGCTTCTGGGGAAGACTTTGTGCAGATCGTGCTCTGCCTGACGTCCCAGAGAGGACCTGTGTGATTGAATCAACTGGTCGGCATTGTGATTGGTTTTTGAAGAATCCCCATGCTGCGAACTTCTTCTTGTACATGTTCTCACTGACGTCCGGCTCTCAATTAGCTCACGAAGAAAATGCTTGGCTTGGGGACTTACGATGCCTTAAAGCCATGCGCATTATCCATTACCTTCGAGACCGCGCTGAGAGATTTGGCTTCGTCTAGGTAGAGGGTTTTGAGTATCTGCTTCTTCGACAACCATTCTCGTTCGTCGTGCTCTGCTTTTCTCCCGGGGCGCCCCTTTTTCAACGCTGTTTGGGGCTTGCTGGTCGATGGTAAAGCTGACGAGACTGCGTCGTGAGATGTTGACTGTTGCGACTGAGAAGGCGTGGGGCTGAGAGTTTGAGTCTCCTCCCGTACCCGTGTCGGAATGGCACGTCTCTGATCTATGAACGGCGTCTCTGGTTGATATGCAGCGGGTTCGAATGACGGCGGGGACACTTCGCTTGACTCAGCAGTGCTCTGAAGGCAGATCCAAGTCTCATAGAACTCGGAATGCTGGTCAAGTTCCATCGAATCCATTACAGAAGAGTTTCTGGAGCAATACGAACCGAGTATGAATGATTTTGAGGTTTTTCGAAAGGGAGAAATTTCAAAAAGATGTTTAGCGTGATGGGATTCTCAGAGGCCGACGGAGTTGGGGGATCACAGTAGGCCCGAGACGGACACTTCGCCATCCATGGAATCAATGCCTGTCAGGAAGTTCGCAGTGACAACTTATCTAAGGTCAGTGGAGGCTCATTTTTGGGCCATCAAGTTCCAGACTCTTCACCCCACGCTCATACTGCTTGTCGTTGGTTAACGACCATATCCCCGTAGTACTTCCGGCCAATTGCTACTCTCGCGACCGAGTGGCACAATGACTTATGGTGTACTGCTAGCTGCATGATCTGATTGGACATATCAATACAGACTGCATTGAAGTCCTTTTAAGTTGATTGGCTAAAGCGGTATCACCGCTTGGTCGGGACAAGACACACTGCATGTACCGTTGGGTCTGGTGGTTGGTGAACATTAATGCCATTGGTAGTTGCTGTGGCCAGCCCGGTACTCTGCAGGAATCATGGATGGGCTCCTACGTTCTCAAGAAGCAACGCGGACAAGCTTGCAATGATATGCGTTGGACTTGCAGAAGAGATGCATATTGATTTTCAGTTGAGCCAGGCAACCATGAGCAGGCTCGCTAGTCACTTTGTCCACGTCGACGCCCTGGTATCAATTCGAATCTCCGTTGGGGGTGGGGTGTGAAATGGTCCTGCATGCAAGTCATCGACCGCGCCGTCTTTGGCATTTCATGGTGCTCGTGACCGTCCGGGCGAGAGACAAGTGATACGTACGGTATCCGATTCCAGTTTACATGCATCTTAGGAACTTTAGGGAAAGGATGGACATCTGAACCCTGGGCAAACGTTTTCACAAGTATAAGTAGGCCTGAAAGCTCCCCGTACAGCGGTGGTCAATCTAGATAGATCAGGCACATACATACATACAAGCTCTATCTCTGTCTTTATTTCTTTCTTGAGATCTTTTTATCCACAAAATCACGTTCTCTCGCACAACATGTGGTCAGACAATTCTTCCACCGTAACCGACTTCTCCGCGGTCTCTGAGTACGACGAGCATGCCATTAAGCTCGAAGTAGACTCCATGCTTTCGATGATTCAAGAGGACATGAAAAAATTCAAGGAGCAGTCGGATGAATCGAAGACCAGACTCAAGAGACCAACAAAAGCCAAACACAGAGTCTTTGTTGCGGTTTGCAGCCCGCACAGTGTATCTCGCCTCTCAAATAAGTGTCAGAGTCTTCAAAAACCGGCTTTCCGTTTCTTCAGAAGTAAGCTTATATCTCTTGCGTTACTATCATCTCCTATCATCAGGGCAGCTGTGATCTGACGCGTTGGAAAGGGAAGCGCTCTTCAGTGGTTGTCACCACTGATTTCGCACTCGATTCGATCATCCGTGACTTAGCGAAGAGCCATGAGTGTGATGAGCTTGTTCTCGTTGTGAGTGGCCATCTTGAAGTCATAGACTTCGACGTTCCGTCAAACTTTCGAGTGCTGATGGTGCTCCGTTGTGGCTTCGGCTCCAATGCGGAAAAGTACCTGCACCTTGACGGGGCCTCGACTTTTGGTGGCAGTATGATCCAGCGGTGGGCACAGAAGGACCGAAGACGCCGTTTGTTTTTTGGGCCCGCGGTGCTGATTGACATCGACCCCGAGGAGAAGTCTTGGGCAAATGCCGAACAGGCGTTCAAGCAAAATCTCAGCAGCCGAGAGAAAACAAGGATCAGGCGTCACGTGGAGAAGATGAAGAAGACGTCTGTGGACGACGGCGAGTGGTGGAAGAGATGGAGAGGGAGCCTTGCTTCCATCTTGGGCACCCTAGCTTGCGGTGCGAAACTCGCCGTCTCGATTAAGGCCTCTGCAGGAGGTGCACTGTTTCAGTTCCAATATGGCTTGCTCAATATCAAGGTTGGGGCAGCATATGCTGGGGCTTCCGCATTCATGACTGCCGCCGGTCCTGCCGTTCTCATTGGTGTTGGGGTTGCTGCAGCAGTATACTACGTGCCCTGGGACGCGATCCTCGAATGGCTTGGGGGTATTCTGTCTTGGCTTTCAGACGGTTTTATAGCGATCTGGGAGATGTTCAAGGATTGGATGGCCAGCGGGAACCAGAGTCACAATGACTATCAAAGACGCCGGGAGAGAAAGGGGAACTCTAGAGTACCGAGACCGATGGATTTCTCCTTCTAACGCCTCACTACGTATGCTCTCGCACTACGGCACCTATCCCTTGTGGAAGACGTTGACCATTCGTGCCAGCTTTACTTCTTAATCTTTTGCTCAACCGTTGCCACATTGATCGCTATAGCTAGAATCATTTGACGAATCGCAGTTGATGGATCGAGTCTAAGGGTGAGGCTGCGGAAACGGGACGCCTCGAGTGAGGACTAGCTGGATGATGAAGAGTCGCATTTACAAACTATGGTACACGAATGATAAGGCGCATAAGACTGTCTTGAGTCCTTTATAATTCCGCAGGATACTCTCATCCAGAGTACCCAGTGCCGTGTCCACGGCCGCTTCCCTGTCGGTTCGTGGTGCAGTCAGGACGAACGACAACGTCAGGCGCATAAACCGGCAAGTCAGACGGGTTGCTCGGGATGGTGACCTCGTCAGTCACAACACTAACGAGCAGGTTGCCCGCGTTCTGCCTGTCCTGCACCTCGCCGTTGACCAGGGCGACGCGCCAGTGGAGATTCTTCTGCAGGTAAGGGATCACATCCGCGGGGGCTAGGCTGTCGACCATGCCGGCGAGGTAGCGCTCGACGAGGGCCAGGGTGATGGGGATCTGGCCAGTGATCTGCTGTCCGCGGGCGCGGCCCTCCTGGCAGTTCCGGCAGGCCGTGTTCTCGTTCTGGCCGAAGGTGGCGAAGACGCCGACGTGGGAGTGCTGCGTGGGGTAGAGCAGGGGCGAGGCGTCGTCGACGTCGCCGAGGAAGACGTGGACGACGTAGTTGCCGCCGAGCTGCGCCTTTTCGGCCTTGATGTTGACCAGCCACTCGAGGTACTTGTTCTCGGCGCCAACGAGCTTCTTCAGCTCGCGCTCCTTGGGGAGGTGAACGCCGTTGGTCTGGGCCAGGGGCGCTTGCTCTACGGAGGCTGCCGCAAGTTGTCCGCGCTCGGCCTTGATGTGGTTCTTGGCGCGCTGCTGGAGTTCCTGGGTGGCGTTGTCGAGGTCGGCGCTGCTGCTGCGCATGATGTTGGCAAAGGTGGCCATCTTGCCGTAGAGACGATCCAGCTCGTTGATGACGTCCTTGGGGGTCGGGAACCTCGCCTTCTGAGTCTCGGGGTACGCGTAGCCAAAGACCTCGGTGGTGCGGACGCCCTCCGAAGTCCAGAACTTCTGCTCGGTGCCGTTGCTGGACTGGGCAAAGGGGGCCAGCGGGGTGTCGATGCCCTCTGGGTCGCCGGCCTTGACGATGAAGTTACCCCAGTTCGCATCGGAGGGTTTGGTCGTCACGTAGGTGAGGGGATCCGAGGGCTTGTCGTGGATGGCCTGCCAGATGGCGAACAGGCGGTCGATGTTGGCGTGGTGGAGCCAGAAGATGGGGTCGAAGGAGGAGATCTCGGGGTTGGCCATGTGGCCGCCGCGGCCGCCGGTGTAGTTGTGGACGGCGTTGTGGACGTCCTCGATGCTCCCCCAGCCGCGGAAGTCGATGTTGCTGGGCTTCTGCGCCTCGAAGCGGTTGCTCGACGCCGTGGCGAACTCGGTGTAGGACTGCAGGATGAAGTTGACGCGCTCCGTGAGGTTCTTGCCCTTGGGGCTGCCCTGCTCGCCCTGGAAGAAGGCCAGCAGCTGGCGGTTGATCTCGCCGTCGCCGTCGCGGATGTTGGGGTAGCGCACCGTGGCTCCGACGCGGGGGACCTAAGATGCGGATGTCAGTTTGTTGGCCGGCAGAGGGGAATGGGACTCTACGTACGGTGTTGATGTCCCGCAGGGATGCGGACTCTCTGAAGGTGTAGTTCGAAAGGGGGTTGATCTCGGACTTGCCCGACAACGCCTTAGGTCTGACGACTTTGTTGAGGGCTGCGGAGGCGGCTTGAGGAGGGAAGACGCCGAGGTCGGGACGGGCCCAATCCCAGTACGGCATGCGGAAGGTCTTTGCTGCCTTGACGTAGTCGGCCTTGCGCTCGTCCTCGGTGTAGGCGTTTGCAATGAAGTTAACGTGCTTGTAGAGCTCGGTCTGACCGTGGGTGTGGTTAGTCTTTTTTGCACCGTACATGACGCTTTCAGGGGTAGAAGCCTCACCTCGAAGATGGCGAGATAGGGGCGGTGCCAAGTGAGGAAGAGGATGGAGCTGTGGGTGCAGAAGCCTCCGAAGTCGTTGTCAACGCGGACCATGTTGTTCCATGGCTTGTCTGGCCACTTCTTGTAAGGCAATCCGTGGATGGCTAGCTTTCATGTTAGGTGCGCGTTGGAGCAGAGGTGGAGGACGGCAACTTGCCAGCGAGTTCGAAAAAGGAGAGGGGCATTCCCTCTGGCACATTTTCCTTGAATCTCTCCAGACCAAGGAGGTAGAGGTTCCACTGGTCCGGCTGGTCCTTGATCATGTCCCGAACCTCCAAACGAACGGGAGGGTTCTCTGTGAGGTGTTAGCAATTGAATTGAAGGGAGACTTGCAAGTTACCTACGAGGATCATCGGCTGGGATGCCATGAACAAGGATAGGGCCACTGGTGCCGTCAGAAGACATGTTGACGAGATGGTTTGTGGTAGTGTTGCAAAATAGAGTGTAGAGAGCGAAGGTAGTGAGGTGAGAATCCTCTTGTCATACCGACTTCTAGAGGTCAGCAGATTAAGCTTATATACTTTGTCTCTCACAGTCGGAACTCCTACTTACACTCCATCGCCGCGGGATTCTCTCCCGCTCACCGAACGGCTGCGAAAACGCCGGTACCTCGGGACCTCGTTCAGCCCTACTCAGCAAGGGGCTGTCTCACATCCGGGCCGCTGGGCATATCCCGTCACACCGGCCGCGCGCCGCGGTGCGGGGATGATCTCCAGCCAGCCATGTCAGCTCGGGCGCGCGGCTCAGCCGCAGCAAACACTCGGCATGTCAGCATGAACCAAGCCAATGAGCGACTCTGCACCATCTCACCGACTTGCGAGACATCACGACATCGTCCACTTCTGGTCGTATAAATCAGATTGTGGCTTGAAGGGGAGGGGGTGACCCCCCCGTTTCCCGTGACGAAATCTTTGTCTCGCGGTTGCGTGGGTGCGTGCTGGGCATGCCGTCAGCTACGGTCAGCAAATACGCCTTCCGGCGACTTTTGAGCGTTGGATGCCTTGTCGTTGAGAGTCTCGGTCGGGAGCGAATCACGCGTGGTCTTGGTCTGGAGATCCCTGTCTTGGCGTCTATGAGGCGGAGGCTGAAAGGCTATTCGGTTGGTTTGTGGAAGCCTTGAGATGTAGTGGTCAGGGGTACCGCGACTTTCTGACTACGGTTTTGAGCTACAGGTGCAACTAGGAGAGACATGATCACGCTGACGTTCTGGCATGGCAGTTTGAGCTGAGGGTATGTTGATGTTGATGGAGACATACACAATTCGAATCACACAATTTTCCGCGCATCACCAACATGAAACCAGCGGAAATCTGTGTCAAATCTGCGACAAACTTTCTCTATTGCGAATACTGCTACCTCTCGATTCCCTCTTTCTTTTTTGTTTCTCCTTTTGTCGTTCCTGATGCCATAGCCCTCAATGTTTTGACACTTCGCATACCAGTACTTCTGCATGGTGCGGAATCCGAACATGGTTCCCTGAATCCCGGAAACCGAAAAGTCGGAAGAACATGAACCAGATCGTCTCTTCAAATTCCCACGCTGTCATGAGTTTGCACCCGCTGTGAACGCGTCCCATTTCCCTTGGAGAGTATGTGAGGCTTCCGATTTCGTCTGAACTGGCTTGTGTTAAAGTAAAACCGCAGCCGGAGAAAGTGGTCCGGTTTTCTCGTCGGTGGTCGAAATTCGGCTTCTGCGATGTGCCGTACTGAATGAGATAAGTCTTGGATTTAATCCGGCCGTCGTATCTTGCCATCAAAAGGCTCAGAAATAGAGCGCGGGGGCCTGGGGCCTGCATCATTCGAGTGAGCATGCCAGCGGTGTAATCACGACCCTCAGGCCCAGCCCTCAAACCTAGCGACATGTCGTAGTTGAAGGACCAGAATGCAAAATATTCGAACGCAATCGGCTCGTCGAATGCAACGCCCAGACCCAATTTCGTAGATCCTAGGTCTCTAATCACCTTGTTCACGTCCCATGTGTTGCGGGATACTGCTTGGAAGACTGTCAAGTCTTTCTGCGGAAGCACACCGAAGCTGGCATCCGCAATCCATGCGTCTGTACTGAGATACGTTCTCGCATATTCATCGGCTCTCGAACACGTCTTGGAACTGTCTGCAAGTCGTCTGTAACGACGTGTACCGAATATGACTGGCGCAGATCCCTCGGTCCGAGGGAAACGACTTTTGAACGCTCTCTGCACGACGCATCTCGACTCCTTGCAAGCTGTCCATAACCCAGAATCTTCTCCCATGAGGAGGATCTTGTCCATTTCGCCCAGCAGGTACCGATCCGGGTGTCGATCTATGGGCAACGTGGTAAAGTATTTCCCGCCACCGTCGTCGTCCTCTCTGTCTATCATGAAGTAGTGAATACTCGGCAGAAGAGGACGAACGGCGAGCTCCCATATCAGAAGTCTCAATTCAGGAGGGAGCTCCATCAACTGAGTAAACATGATTAGCTGAGATTTGAGCAGCTTCAGAGGGCAGACGTGAGGGCGTGTAGGAGGGAGGGTTCGTAGGTGGCGCTGAGGGCGTGGGGGCGTGGGGGCGTGAGAGCAGAATGCCAGAAAGGCAAGCAAGAGGGCAGGTGTCTTAGGAAGGAGGGCTACGCTTCGGTGGTAGCGTTGGGACGCTGGAAAATTGCCGCGTCAGGGCTCATCTCTTAAAAATAAAAAGATAGAGGTACCCACCAGTACATACTGTCACCTGTCCCTCGCTGTGCATCCCATATTTCTATCTCCGTTGCCGTCTTTTTAGGTTCTCTTTTCTGTCGTCCGTCTTCCCTCCTGTTGTCGGCTCCTGTCAATCCTGGCATATTTGGCGAAGGAAGCTTTTGCTTTTCCGTGCCCTTGAATAACGCAAGTGTACTAGGTAGATATTCGGAGGAACCTCCAGGTAGCTTTATCCATCTACCCGGATAGACAATCCTAGAAGAATGTACGCTAGAGGCATAGTTTTCAGCACTATGGGATAAACCTAATGTGTATTTGAACGACAGCTACATAGTTACGAACTCTGGGATAGTGCACTTTACGCACTCGATTATCCATGTGTCCTCATTCTTCGAGAGACACGAGCGATATTCACAAGCAAGAGCGAGGCCCTTTCGAAAACGGAGATATGAGGTTAGGGTTTGAAGAGGTGTTCTCATAGGAACCTTGGAAGTACCGCTCTATCTATGTCTGTTTTTGGGAGCCCTTTCCGCGCCCACCAAAGCCCCAGCCAATCTGGTTTGCCATCTTGACATTGACTCCAAGTTCGTCAGCATACGAATACACCAAACCTGGGTTCTTCTGGAACCAACGTCCGCACATGATGACGTCCAAACCAGACTGGAGAAACCCCTCTGCCATGGCACCCGTGCTGATTCCGCCGACCGCAGAAACAACCAACCTATCTCCGACTGCCCTCTTGATCTCCTTGGCAAAAGGTGCCTGGTAGCCAGGTCCAGACTTGATGCTCGTAGATTGCAGAGGATGGATACCACCGGAACTGACGTCGAGAAAGTCGACACCTTTCCCGGCCAGAATCGTTGCTAATTTGCAAGAGTCTGCAACAGTCCAGCTCTCGGGAAATTCTTCCTTCATGTTATCAAACCAATCCGTTGCGCTGATTCGAACGAAAAGGGGCATATCCTCTGGAATGGAGGCTCGTACAAGATCTGTGATCTCAAGGACTAGCCTCACTCTGTTCTCCCAGCTTCCGCCGTATTCATCTGTGCGCTGATTGCTGATGGGACTCAAAAATTGATGAATGAGGTAGCCGTGAGCGGCGTGGATCTCGACCACGTCGAAGCCAGCCCTGACGGCCCTCTTTGCCGCGTCCACGAAAGCCTTCTTGAACTCCTGGATTTGCTCAACCGTCATTGCTCTCGGCTGCGGATAGGCATCGTTGAAGCGCAGCGCCGAAGGCGCATACACCTCGTCAGGCCATCCACCAACCTCCGCGCTTGCAGTAGCGTTCATGTGCAGAAAGGGCGCCACGGTGCTGGACTTGCGACCGGCGTGGCTGAGCTGGATGCCGATCTTCTGGCCTTGACTGTGAGCAAACTCGATGATGCGTTTCAGCGGCTCGATTTGTCCGTCTTCCCACAAACCGATGTCTTGAGGTGTAATGCGTCCTTCCCGCTGAACTGCAGTAGACTCCATCAGGGCGAGACCAGGTCCGCGCTGGATGATGCCACCAAGATGTGTCAGATGCCAGTCAGTTGCGTATCCTTCCTGTGCTGAATACTGGCAGAGGGGCGCCAAGAAGAGTCGGTTTTGAAAGGTGACGCCACGGACGGTCAGCGGCGTGAAGAGTTTAGGAATAAGGGCGCCGGTGGTTGTGCTGATTGCGGTGCCGGAGAATGGATCTTGGAGCGGAGTGTAATACGAGACATCTTTTGCCGCTGGGTTGTCTATAGCTGGAAATTGAAGGGCCTCCGCGGCTCCGTTGATCTGTGACATCTTGAAAAGAAGGTAACGAGGAGCTGACAGTGACGAATCTGAATAGCTCCCGATACATTCAGTAGATCAGGGTTGACATTTATGAAGAGTCTGTATGATTTATACGGTTTTAAGATAGTCGTCAAAGCTCTCTGACTTAGTCAAATTCTCATTAGGCATCCTACGCATTCCATCTCGAAGCCGATGATACTCGGCGCATGCGTCCCGTCACCGAGCCGGCCGGATTGTGGGGTCTCGGCCAGCTCATCCGTGGTGCGAGCGACAGAATCACAGTGGAATTTCTGGAGTATGACCAATGGTCAGAAACTCTATCCGTATCTATCAGAAGAAGCAGAGATTCATTTACCACCGTAGCTAACAAATGCATGTCTGGGGGCTGAAGGGCACCGAGTAATGGGCTCGGTATAATGTCTGTTTTCGCCGACGGTCAAATGGACCCCTTGCCGAGGCATTGGGATAAGAGAAACCACTGGCCATCCATAATGGCTTCGATAGGCGCCTCACAGAATTGAATACTTGTTGTATTCGTCTTCTATGAATTGGCGTGAATGATCTATTGCTATTAATCCATTATTACTACTTCATCGTGTGCGTGGTGAAGTATAAGTCTAATGCACAGACTTACAGACAGTTGCTACATATACAGAAAGAAACAGCAGACATTATCTGAGACTCATCACGCTAGCTCAACAGGGCGAACTGTTCCCTCTACTTCTGCAGCACGAGTTTGTGATGATAATTCGACTGGGGGCGGTGATGTCTTGCTCAGCTCTATGGTCTCATGGGTGTGATCCCCTGAGAGTTCCTGCTTGTTATCGTAGCCATGTTGGTGAATGTTTCTCTCTCCAGCTGCAATCTGCGAGATTCTTGCTTCTCTTTTTTGCTTCCTTTTGCGCAGGCATACGAACAGCCCGCCACCGACGAGAGCGAGCACTACAATTATGACGCCAACCGCTGTCCCGGCGATCGCTCCTGTTGATAGCCCAGAGGCTTCTGTTTTGTTGTCTTGAGTCGGAACGCGCACCTCGAGCGGAAAGACGGGGTGATGGACTTCAATAGGGCCTTGATTTGGGAGATCTGTTAAAGGCACCTTCGTCCAAGACGTCGTAATAGTACTATCGCTCCGTCCCGTCGTCACGATGGGATAGAACCAGATGTCGGTCGGCGTACTGACAATGCTGTAGCAATCACGGGTGTCGGCTTTTCCTGTAGGTGGGTCGTAGCAGTTCCAACCGGGCGGGCAGCACCATACTTGGACGTATCGTTGTGAGCTTGTGAGGTCCAAGGTCTTGGTGCACGCCGCCGTCCAGTCGCTGATGCAAGCTGTACCTGGGTAGGCTAAACTGGTCACGTCATCTGAGATCAAAGACTTGTCAGCCACTTCTTTGTATCATTTCCATAGCCTGGTCTTTCTCACCGAAGTCGTCGAAAGGTTTGAAGATATTGGTGTAGGTTTTCGGGAAACATTGTGCCGGGAACGACGTTGTTGTTTCCTCCACGAACTGAAGGCCCCAGCAAATCGTCCGTGGCGTTACTTCGTTTGCTTTTCCTTCGCACCGAATTCCCTTGGGAATGATAGAACAGACGCTGTCTGTGGCAGAAAAGGGTGTCGTTTGGGGCGCCAACTCATAGACCCTCGACAGTTTTTGTCCTTTCGTAACCGACCAATGTGTCGTTGTCGCTGTGGTATAGACCTGCGTTGAACTCGCCATGACTTCGCGGCAAATTCTTTTTTTTTTGTGGATGTTTACATGAAATGAGGCGACCAAACCATGACCGTTGAAATAAAATCGCAAGACTGAAGGGCACAAGCTTTCAAAATGAATGCCGGGAGAATAACTTGACTTGAAGTGGAAAGGCCGAAGTATGTGCCCCGGGTCAGCGCTTACTGTTCTACAAATGTAACACCTCGAGAGACGTTGTCTGCAAAAGTTTTCGCATGTTGTGACCAGTCTTACTCAGCCAAGGACGTTGTTTTCTAGTCGCATATGTTGTGTACTATTGCAGCTGAATCAACGCAAATATTTGGGCAGTCTTTCGAGAACACCCGCCATGTCCTTCGGCTACCGAGATCGTGATCCTACGAAGCATCCCCGAGCCTTACAGCCTCTGCGCGGTAGAATGCTGGGGATGTATAGAAGAGGCCTGTAAGACTGCCATGTTATTGGATATGTATCAGAAACACGTTTATGGGGGTAGAGTCAGTAAATAAAGAGAAGGGAGCAACAAAACGTAAGTCTAAATGTCGCATTGTATGCTAAACCAAGCCGTAAATCACCTACCAAATACAGGCCCATTCCCCTAAACCAGAACCTTGGCCTCACTCTTCGGCCCCCTCTCTCCGAAAATCGTGCTTCCAACTCTGACCTCCCCGCTCCCCAGTCGAACGGCTCCCTCAAAATCCTCACTCATACCCATACTCAGCTCCAGCTCCCTGTCGAGCCCCAGCTCCTTGGTAACCAGATCCCTCTGCTCCCTCAGACACAAAAAGTCCTCGTTCTCGTTCTCGGGCGTCGTCGCCTTGCTCCGCGCGATGGCGCCGATAGTCATCAGACCCAAGAGCCTCAGCGACGGGCAGTCGTTCTCGACGGCGCGGCAGAGGGCGACCGTCTCCTCGCCGGGGGATGCGCCGGACTTGGACTCCTCGCCCGAGGTGTTGACCTGGACGTGGATGCCGAGAGGCGCAGCGTCCGGGCTGGAGGCAATGAGCTCTGCGCGGGAGGTGTTGAGGAGCTGGGCCTTCTTGAGCGTGTCGACGGACGAGACGCAGAAGAGGTTTGTAATCTTGGCGAGCTTCTTGGCGTGGGCTATTGCGCTGTGTCAGTCCCTCTCATTTATTCTCACTCTTCCTTTCACGTCTGCTTTGGAAGAAGTCGCCTCCTTATGAGAGATAACGAGGTGCTCTTCACGGGAATTTGGTCAACGTACTAGACTGCAAGCCGCCGATGAAGTGCCACTGGATACTCCTCGGCAAAAGCTCTGCCTTCTGCCCCAGTTCCTGCGCGTAGTTCTCTCCAAAGTGAAGCTGCGGCGGCGTGGCGTGGTGAAGCGCGAGGACGTCGTTTGCCGGCTTCAACTTGGATACGGCCACTAAGCGGACCTTGTCATCGTCTCGTCAGCGACTTTTCATTCATGGTTTGGTGGGGGATATGACACCCCGCGGGAAACTCACATTGCGGCCCGCTGCAACGGCAGTGACGCGCTCCTGCACGGCCTGCAGCTGCGAAACGAGCGCCTTTGCTCTGGCGGGATCGATCTTCATTTCGGGCTGGGCGTCTGTCATTGCAGGGGTGCGGGTTTTGAGGAAGTTGTTGACGAGGTTCAAGTTAGCGACGAGTGAGGTTGGCGCAGAGTCATGGATTTCCAGTGTCTTCCAACAGAGGCTATTAATGGTCTAACAATTGTGGGGCAACGGGACGGCAAATTTGGCAGAGATATGCCGGGTCTGTGTTAGGGCATTCTCTCAACTTCAAAAATGCCCTTTAAGTTACACGTCCGGCAGGACTTGACACTGAAAATGAATCCAGCGTTTAGAATTTTGCTTAATGCATTGAAGAAAATATGGATTCAGACATTACTATGTGTGAGATCTAACGCCGACGTGGGACAAACCCAGACGACGAAGATTCACGATGGGTGGTTTCAGTTGTTAATATTAATTGATTAGAAAGATGGCGGCGGACATCATAACTATACGAAGTAAACCTCTATTACAGGTTCAATTCAACTTGCAGCATATCTGCTCACAGCAGAGTACTATGCCTCACCGTTCCACCCCTCAAGAAGATATGTTGCTTCCCTAGTCTCAACGTCGATTGGATCCAGCCAGTTCAGTTGGGTAGTTGACGCTGGCCGACGAAACTTCTTGGGGTTCACGCGTTCCAGAGAGCTCCGTCATGGGTGACCGATGCTCGTCGATCGGAGATGGATATGACGGCGGGGGCGTATGCCGACGCACCGGGCTGACGGGGCTTATGTTGCTGACTTGATGCGATAGATGAGAAGATCCGTGGGGGTTATGGGCCTGGAACATGTGGTCTGCCGAGGAGTTTGGGCTTGCGTAGGCCGAGTCGTGACGCATCGCAGGTGCTATATGATGGCGGACATCGTCGTGGCTGGAATGAGAGCGTCCCTTCCGGAGCCAGAGCCACCACACCGCAAGTACCACAAGCGCGCCGACTGCGAATGATCCAATGGCAATACCAGCAACAGCGCCTATGGACAGGTTGGCTGAAGAGGCCTTGGCCTCTGTTTCTGCCTTGCTCTTGATGACGAAACCCCTGCTTTGAAGTTCGTTGTCGATGAAGCCCGGAGGACCGCCCGTCTTGGTGTAGTTCCCGGTCGGATCGACGATCCTCAGCGCAAAGTTTGGGTTATTCTTTATTGATCCTTCCCTGAGACCGTCGCTCTCTCCGACAAACCAAGTGTAGTAACCCTGGTTGCGGTTGTTGGCTGCTGTGTGTTAGCCGAAAGGAAAACGAAAAAGGTAAAAATAACTTACTTATGAATGAAGCCACTGGAACGCCCTCATCCTTTCCCCAGTGCACCAAAACAAGAGATATGTACGGCACATTCGGAACAACCCAAGTCAGTTGGACCTTTTGGCCAAGCGTGTATGTCGTATTGAGGTTCTGCGTGGTGATTTGGGCCCCCGTCTGGTCGAGTTCGAAGCTCGCGGGGTTAGTGAAGTAGTCACCGCGAGTGGGAGTTATGCAGAAACACAGCAGGCCCAGCAGCACTTGGCCGAGCCAGTGCTGGCGATGCGACAGCATGGTGGACGATTCCTGAGAGAAGGAAAACAATCAAGAGGATCAAGAGAGGGGCGGATCGGGCCTCATACATATGGTGCAGATTAGGCCCTCGCGGGGGGTTTTAAGCTCATCTCCTGTCTGCCTTGACTAGACCCAAAGAAGACACCATTCCAGAGACACAGGATATTTGGCATGGGTTTAGAAGCGAGGGTTGCATCCAACGATGGCCTGCCAGGGCCGGTCAATGGCTAAAAACCGTGCTGGACTGAAATTGGATGCTGTGCCGCTGAACTACAGCAACACGAACTTAACCGCTAGGGCCAATGTAGACAATACGAGAAGTTCTCGTCTGTAGCGGAAGATTAGAGTGGCAGGGCGAGGCGCAGTCATGTTGAGTTGCATCGTCTCTGACGGTGATATCGAGGAGTTCCCAAGCACTTCTGGTGATGTGGAGGTGAGATGGAGACCAAAAGGAACGAACACTCCCACGCCAGTTCCCCCAGACGATCCAACAGCCACAATGTGCCTGAGCCACGAGCCACTGACCCGCCCTTATCGGGAAGCTACGCAAGCTGTAAAGCCACACCACACGACTAAGGTAGGTACAGATCCCTACAGGCACTGAAAACGCGCCCAGACCTTTGGGGCGCGGGATGACGGATGACACTTTTGCCCAGCAGCTCCTTGGTTGGTTGGTTCAGATAGATGCTGTGCCGAGTGCCCCTTGCCGCCTACCGTGTCCAGACTCCAGTGCCTTGCCGTCGTCAGCGACGGGACCCCCAGCCCGAAAAAAAGGGATGAAAGGACGTTTATCGATGATAAGTCGTCAGCTCAATTTTCTCACGATCGCGTGCCTTCGCTCCTCCTCCTCCTCCTCCAAGCTCCCTTCGAGGCTCCCTTTTCTTTCGTTTAAGCTTTTTTTGCGTTTTCTCTTCTTTCCCAAACCAGCCAATTAGCCTTCGTATTTCTTTGCCATCCGCAGAAGCCAATTGTCCGTCTCATTGGCTTGGCCCTCATCAGAGCTCCCTGTCAATGTCCACCTCTTTTCCCAACTAAGCTTGGCCCTCTCCGACCCGAGTCGACCGGCCGACGATAGCCTCAATCGAACCTACCATCCCACCGGGTCCCGGCGCTCTGCCAAGCTCACTTTCTCACCGCCGCCGCTTCCGCCGCTGAGTCGGCCGCGAGACCTCGCCCATCATGCCGAAGCAACACATGATATTCGGCCGTCCCCTCCCCCGCTTCGGCACACGACGCATCTCATTCCTCCTCGTCTCAATCTCCATCTTCGCCGTCTTCTCCCTCCTCTTCACCCTGCCGAGCACCATCCCCTCCGGCCCGAGCCTGAGCAAGTACACCGATCACAAGTTCTCCATCCCGGCCGCCATCAAGAACCCCTTCTCCGCCACCAGCCGCCTCAATCCCTTCCGCACACCATCCCACGCACCCCCGCGCCAGCAGAACGACACCTATGGCGAGTCCTCCTGGTGGGCCGATTGGAAGTGGCTCTCCGTTCCCTTCTCCTCCTCCCTGACCCTCGACGAGGAGCGCTCTCTCCTTCCGCCCCTCAAGACCCGCCCGCCAATCTACTGCTACTATGATACCACCATCAAGAAGCCTGCCGATGCGAAGGATGCCGAGAGCGAGCTCCTCCTCACCTGGCGCCATGCCTGGTGGGCCCGTGGCTTCAAACCCGTCATCCTCTCCGCTGCCGAGGCCATGAAGAACCCCCTCTACGACGAACTCCAGCGCAATAAGGAGATGGACGCCGATCTCAAGACCGACATGATGCGCTGGCTTGCCTGGGACAACATGCGCGGCGGCCTGCTCGCATATCACACCACCCTTCCTATGGGCTCCCACGAGGATCCCCTCATCGCCTACCTCCGCCGCGGCGAGTACCCCCAGCTCACCCGCTGGAACAACCTGGGCAACGGCCTCTTCGCCGGCGCTGAGAAGGACGTCACTGCCGCCATCAAAGCCACCATGGCCAGCTCCAAGCTCAAGGAGACCAAGGACTTCGTCGCTGCTGCGTCCGAGGACACCTTCAAGATCGACAACTTCCCCAAAGCCATCGCCTACTACGACGTCGACATCATTCAAGACAAATACCCCAAGGTCGCCGAGGCCATCGCCGGTGACCGCGCCGCCGGTCTCAGGGGCCTGAAACAGCTCATCAACGCCCACCTGCACACGACCTGGCAGAACGTCTTCTCCGACGGCATCGCCGTCCTCAAGCCCCTGCCGCAGCACATGACACACCTCATCGACAATGCTTGGCATCTCGCCGACGACCTCTCCATGTGCCCCGAGTCCCCGATGCCCGGCTCCTGCCCGCCCAACAACCCCAAGTGCAAGCCCTGCGTGCCGGCCCAGTCCATGCACATCGCCACGCCCCCGCGCTACCGCAACACGACAACCCTCTACACGATCGGCACCGTCCCGCACCCATACACCACCGTCCTCCTCACGAACCTCAACGACAACATCGAGATCCCCTGGATCCGCCGCAAGTCGGACCGCGACGCCTGGCTGACCGCCATCACGACCGAGCTGATGGGCGTCGGTATCGGCTCCGAGCCCCGCATCCTGCGCTTCAAGGAAGCCGTCGCCGGCGAGTTCGCTACGGCCCACTCCCTCTGGCTGACCGCCGAGAAGGACCTGCCCAAGGACCTCGACTGGCACTTTGGCTTCGCCATCCCCCACAACGCCACCGACGGCACCTCCGAGACCCCCGTCCCCGGCCCCGAGCGCCGTCCGCAGCCCAAGCACGACGCGGCCGATGGCCCCGTCGCCTCCGAGGAGGAGCTCGAGAAGGAGCCGCCTTTGCTCAAGCGCGCGCGCGACATGGGCAAGACCAAGGACCCCAAGGACCTCGCCGTGCGTAGCGCCATCGAGGCGTGGAACTTGGCGGACACGGAGGCGTGGAAGTTTGCGAGGGCGTTCCTGGCGCGGAGGATCGTGGAGAGGAAGGAGTGGGAGGATAGCGAGAGCCAGTATGCCGGAGGCGTTGGCAGCGAGAAGGGACGGAGGCAGAGTTTGGGAGACCGCTGGCTTGATCGCGACTAAGATTGCCAAAGGGCCGTCGCGTCACCTGAGCGAATGAAAAGAGAGAAAATGAGACAGTGTTGATGATTACGCTGTCGTCGATTTCGTCGATTGTAGTAGTACGGTAGTACAGGCGTCAGGGGTGCCAGGATCGCGTGTGATGCTGTTTTTTTTGTCCCAGTTGGTTTCTGGTCGGGCGTATCACTGGAGTTTTAGAGTGTCATTTTCTCGTGTAGAATCGAGTCAAGAAATCCAGAAAAATCACGGACCAATGCCTCTGCAGCAATGTGTCGAATGGGGGCTGATGACTGTATTGTTTTAAATCATCCTCTGTTTTGTCCCCATTTTCTACGATTTTCTAACCCAGCCCATCTCGTCTTCGGTTCCTAAATTCAATTGACATCGTTTTAGATATGAGAAGCGAGATGTTGAATTCGCGCAAGGAAAGAGAAACACGGGGGAAATGTTCATTTCAGATCGAGTGTGCGCAAGACAAGTTGAGTTGCCTCCCCACGCTTTCTGCGGGCCACCTTTCCGCTACCGGCCCGCATCTACGCAGTCGTGTCACCACCCAACTCGCCGCCCAGCTCTCGAGCACTCGCCCCGTTCCTGCTGCCATTGGCCTTGGATCCGTTGGCGCCGTTCTTGATCGCCTGCGCCTGCTGCGGGGCGTTATTGCCACCGGCGGAGGATGACTCGGTGTAGGTCCTCAGAGCGGAGCGGGCTGCCTCGACGACGCGCTCAGCAGCCTTGAGCGCGTCTCTCAGCGCTTGGGCGGTCGGGTCGTCATTTCCAGAGCGACCAGAGTCGCGCTCGTCGAGGAGCTCGCGGATGTGGCCGTTGAGCCAGAGGCCTTCGAGCTGAGCGCGGGGCATGTCGCGTGCGCCGGCGATGCGGCCGCGGCAAGACGGGGTGCCGCAGAAGCAGTCGAAGGGCTGGGCCATGTGCCACTCCGTAGAGGGGTAGAAGAACTGTGGTCCGGTTAGTACGGAAGTGATGACCAGGTATATGAGTGAGGTTCTGGTTTCGCGGGACGAGGGGTTTTTCTCGGTCTCGGGATAGAATGTGGCGGATGTCAATCAAACTCACAGTCAGTTCGTCGCCTGGCTGGAGTCCTTTCGGGCCAGCCAGAACGTTAAAGTTGCCCGTGTCGAAGATCTATAAATAGCACCTGTCAATCTCACATATTCCCAGGATGACCCTGCCTGTCCGTGCTCGCGGTTCTGGGGACCTGGCGGGAGGGCCCAGGAAGATGACTGACTAGAGACGGTTCGCAGGAGTGGTTGATGTACAGCAGGTCGCTGTTGAGGTTGAGGTGTTTGTCCTTGCCGCACTGGACGGTCGCGTATGTTGGCTCATCTGCCAAGTTGCAAGGCGGGAAAGACATCTTTGCATAGACTGCAAAGGGCGGCAGAGCCACCTTGGAGAAGCTCTTGGTGAGAAACTCAGTTTCGCTCGCCTTGATAACATCCTGGATGTCCGGGTGGGACGGCTGGGTCCAATGGGGCGTGAGTGGTGCCATGGTTGTGAAAGATTTTGAAGTTGAAGTCGAGGCCGGTCGTCAGTCGTCTCGTCTACTAGATGTCGAACGAACAGGGTGCGGTCGCTCGGACTGTGGTTCCTGATTGTTGGGTCAGTCGTGTCGTCACATGTTGAGGGTGGGACATCACCAACGTGGGGGTCTGGTCCGAAGAATGCAAAACACTGGATGAAAATGTGTGAAAAAGAAATGTTAGGGATCAAAACAAAGCTTTTTGTGTCCCCAAAGCTAAGGTGTATATTACAAGTAGAAAGGCTGGTGTGTCGAGTGGTCAGACCGTCAGTTCGCACTAATTGGTCGGGGTGGTTGGTGGTTGTGGTTGTGAAGAGAGAAAAGAGAGTGTACCAGAACAAGCGAAGCATCGGGGACAACTCCAGGTGTTCTTGTACGGAAGAGGAGGGGTAAGCCGTCTGACATCAACATGTGCCGAGCTTCCCAAGGTTGTCCAAGGTTTCACGAGCATCATGTTGAGGGCCGCAGCCAGTCAGGAGGCTCAATTGTTGCTGGATCGCTCAATCTTCTTCCTCCCTCACATGCATTTGTGCATTGGGTTGCGGGGTGCCCGCTGGTGTTCTGGCGTTGCGGGGCAAGGGATGGGGATGAGCATTGAATTGAGAATCGGGTGCAAGCAATCCAAGACTTGTGAAATCCGTCGGTCCAGTGTCTCCGGCGCTGCACAAGGTCGTACAGCGAGAACAGAAGTGACTCCGGCGCGGACTGGCTCTCGCGGGTAAAAGAGAGGCTCCTTGAAGCCGGCCAATGACAAGAGCCCCGGCGACGAATCCGGTCAAAAGCGGCCCCTCTCCAGCCCCTGACGGTGCAGGTCATGTACGCTGTACACAGCCTGACTAGACCACGGTTAGCCTAGCTGCAAGTCATGATACAGGGTCGGAACGGGGGCCACGGGGTGTGGTTGCTTGAGGGATGCTCAATGTCTGCAGCGCCCCGAATACCCCTCATTGATTCTCAAAGATATCCCGTCTTGCCCCTCTTTGTGCGTTCTGCTGGTGCATCCAAACTAGTGTCTTCCTAGTGCTCCCAGAAGAGAGTGGGGGTCCCGGCTGTACTGAGTGGCAGTAAAATGGGTGCGGAGTACATTGGCGTCCATTTCCCCCTTTCTCCTAGCTTGTTTGGCCCGACGGCCGAGGATGATGGCCATTGATGACGAAGACCCTACTTGTTCGAGGTGGATTCTCCCGTCGCCGAAGCTTCCACCCTATGCCCCATGCCAGCAGAAGAGGCAGTGGTGGCATGCACGCTAGAAACAGAATTCCCGTCGACGAAGGCTGGGCTATTTGACTTTGCCTATTGCCGGCCTTTGCATTTGCGTCGTTTAGCTAGGCATCGTCAAGATCTCCGGCACTTGGAAGCCTGTCCCTAAGGTACCCAGGATGTGCAAGCCGTGTGTGTTTCGACGTTGCACTTCCCCATTCCTTTGAGGTAGTGTTCGACCCAAATGGCACGGTAAGGGTATGATCTTGGTACACAGACGGCCATGTTTGCCGCTGGTGGCCCGTATCGCGGAACACTCCTCCATTCCGGTTCTCCCGATATCTAAAGGCTGCAGTCGACCCTGGCAGAGAGTGGTGGTGAATACGTTAAGCCATTGTCCAGCTGCCAATTTATTGGCATGCCCCCTTGTACAACAACAAGAGTGTCCCATCCCACCAACACCAGCCAGACTGATGTGACGGTCACGCGTCCACCGCTCGGGCCGCCCTCACATCCCGTCCTCGCGTGCTCCATTACTGCGCCCGACTCCATCATCGATCGACGACAACCGTAGGACTGCCAGACCTCATCGACCGATTGAGATGATTTCGTTCGTCATGGACTGGTTTTCAACGTATCTCCGGCATCAATGGCGTGACGGTGGTGTCTGCTGCAAGCGGAAAGGATTTGTTCTCGGCGGAGGCAACATGTGAAGTCGGTAAGTGCGAGCAAAAAGACGGGGGGGTTGCGACGCGCGTGGGCGGCCTTTCGCCGGGTACACTGACCGGAACGGAGCTGCGGACTGTGACTCTCGGGCCAAGTTACCGCATGCAAGACCCGCCGAATCGGCTCGGTTCTAGCCAGGGAGACAACAATCGGTCTTGCGGCAGCATGGCTCTCCCTCAATAAGTCGTAGACGAGTCTCGAATGACGGGCATCCCGGTTTCACTCAGTTTCCCCCATATCAGAGAGCGTAAAGCGGATGGGTCGATGTCGTCCCGTTCAGGCAGTTGTCGTCCATTTCACGGGCCGCTCAATCCCAACTAGGATCCCTGTCGCCGTTTTCATGTCCCTGTCGTTTCAGGACGTAAAGCTTGATGACAGGCTCCAGTTGAGGGGCGGGAATGGCGAGCAGCTTCCAGCGAAGCTCAGCTCCAGCGGATAAACACCTGTCAAAACCGCAAATTCCTGTCCAATCTGTCCAATTTCCGGCACATCTCCCGCGGCGCAGGACTGCCCTGCCGAAGCCCAACGTTCAGTGGCCCCGCCCTAGTCGATCTGCCGCTCACCGAACCCAACCTTGACGGCCTGCCTGGTCTAATACGTTCCCACGCTGCGCCCTAGCGTTCGTTTTGAGCTGATGCCAGCGGGGCAGTCGTCTGTTGTGATACAAGAACCCCTAATGAAGCGCGTGCGCAGGCCGCATGGGCGGCAGAGTCGAGCTCGACACGCCATCTGGACTGACCGTCTTGTGTTCCGCCGTCTTTCATTATTTGGTCCCGTGTTTGGTCATCGTCAGCTGGACGGACCAAGCAGGTTTTGTATCCCTGTCCGTACCCATGATCCTCCGTGATATGTCCCTGATATATAAAAAGAAAGTGTGACAGGTGAGAGCCTGTGCGTAGCTCGACTCCTAGTAGACTTCAGGTCGGGGCCTGTCATGTCGGCAAGACTATGAGGGGTTCCTGGGAGGCGCCCGCCAGCAGCCCACCGCCGCCCGCCGATTGTCTTTTGCTCGCCTTCGAAGCTCATCCTGGTGATCAAAGTATCAAGAGGTTTCATTGCTGCGAGCCACGTGCTCCTTCGGCAGAGACTCCCATAGGAGAACCAAGAAAACATCCTTCCCGTCCCTACCGTCGGGTAACTTGGAAGCTTGGGAGGGCCTCCGAAAGGGCTGTGAGCTCCGCATCCAATCCCTCCCACCGCTCGAGCGTCTTGGGCTCGCGAAGGTGGGGTGGGGTGGCATGGCAAGGTAAGGCAGGGCCCTAAGAAGCCCTTTAAAAAGATGCAGATTGTCATCCTCCCTGCCTTGATGGCGGTCTGTATTATCCCGTTTGTCTTTGTTTTCTCGATCATTCGGCTGTTGCAGTATTGAACCAACGCTCGTCCGCACCGGGTCTCTGTCTCGCTTTCGTATGGCGCCTCTTCAACGTTACTACCCAAGAACATATTTAGACTGGTGCTGGCTGGACAACCAGACGCAGCAAATCATGGGTATCAGCGGCCTTCTCCAAGATATCTCCCGCAACATGCAGACGGCATCAGCATTTGCTCCACTGCAGGAGGGCGACAAGCCACGCCCCAAGCCCCAACCTGATCCTCCGGTGCCTGTCCCCGACAATCCAGACGACAGACAGCGGGTCTAGGATCCAACTATGGACCAACAATTCTGGGTGGTAGTGTCGATTCAGCTCTGTGCCGTCCTTCTGGATGCCGATTAGGATAGTACAGAGTTGGGTCATCTCCCACAGCTCCGTCTTCTTGCGCTGTACGACAAGGATCGACTATACGGCGCTTCGTCTCTGGTTTCGGTGTTTCCAACTCGTACGATACGACATGCCAGCACACAGAGCAGTCTCAAATCCAAATAGCAAAGCCATATGGCATTTTGACGGAATTGCGGCAGGCTCACATGGGGACGTCAACCTCCTCTGGGATGCTTATGCTTGCCAGCTCAGTTGGGCCAGTTTGTGAGACATCCCTGCGAGGATCTGCCGACTACTGCGCAGGGTAGCATGCACGGCATCCACCTATTTCCTATTCAGCAACAAGAACCAATGTGGTCACTGCCCGTTGGCGTTTTTCTGGGTGTTCGAATTTTTACTCACAAGGATCTGGTATCTGGGCTCGCAGCCGAGGATGAATGCGCGGTTTCCATGTCTCTCTTTGGATAAATCGACTCGATATGGACAAAAGATATTCAACAGTAGTGATTTCCCACCCTATCGGACTGTACGCGTGGAGTGGGGAGAGGAGGTTGATGTAATGGCAGAAACTGAAGCAGGCTTGGGGTGTCGATGTTGCCGTGCGGAAGGACGGCAAAGCTGGAGGCTACCTTATACCTACCTAGGTAGATAAGGTAGCGAATGGAGCAGCTATGGCAAGATGCGTTGGCAGAAGCGGAAGGAGTATTCCTAATGGCAGCTCATGTTTTCTCGCTTATCGATCCATCTACCTAAGGTACATAATGGCAAGGGCACTGCAAATTTCCCGTGCCTTCCCTTAGCCAACGCAACGTCGTCGCCTAAGTAGGCCACCACCTTCCTTGTCTTCCGTGTTTGTCGATCTGAATTAGTGGGTAACACCTTATATTGACTTCGTGGTTCCTCCCTCCCATTGACTCCAGGTCTGGGACCTAAAGCTTCCCATGCCTTTCTTCCGTGCATCTGAAGAGGCAGTTGCTTCAACAGCTTCTCCAGTTGACTGGATCTCTTGATGTCTTGTTGAGACTGCTGATTACTTTGGGTAATCGTATGCTAGTGAATAGTGTGTGTGTTAGCTTCCCAACAACTAAATCAGTCTTGAGCAGTCTAGAAAGAATATTCATCGATGACACAAAGGAGTGCTGCAAAGATCGTTGTCCCCAACCCTCACAAGCTATAGTGCTGCAGAAGTCTACGCCTTTGAAAGACCTTCGTGCAATTGGTGCCAGTTGACGTTGTCGTATTGGATCACAGAATGTCTCATTTCATCTGTTGTTTCTGTGCCAGAAGGCTGGGTGCTATTTAGTGAAAGCGTTTGCAGCATCCAGCCCTGTGTCATCTTAGGTGCAATTAATAGAAAGAAGTTAGTCACAGTAAGTCCATAACTTCACTATTAAGCCGGTCCAGCTGACTCCTTTCACCCTCCTTCCAGACCGGCGCGCCAAGTAGGCACAATTCACTCCTTCCTTCACTTGTCCAAACAGTAGCAAGAAAGACCACGAAATATACGGTTGTGCTTGCCCTGTCGGCCAGGTTCTCGTTCCTCTTGCCCTCAACGATATCTGTTGAAAATTCTTCACTCTCAGCCTGGCATCACACCTTCCCACCTCGTTCTTTCTTTCTCACCCGCACCTTCGCTTCTGGAGAGGACTTGCTGCCCTCTCACCTGTCTGATTGATCGTTCAAAGTCCCCAAATCTCCTCGCGTACTTCTTCTCCTCCCCTCACCCTCACCCACTCCCAGTCTTCTCCCAACACCACCCACCTCGACCCTCACCGTCGGCCTCACTTTGCTTCACCTCAATTTTGGAACGCGGCAGCTTGCCGGAGAGACCATTGCTCGGTCGACCTTGGTAAGTCTATTCGTTTCCTGTTGTCGCTGGCATCTTCTTTGCCTCTGTCAATTTCCATTCCAAGCTGCCCCCGTCGTCATCCATCGTTACATTTCACTATTTACCTGGACGGCGCTCTTCCTTGTTTCTTATCTTGCTCATTCGTCTTGCCGCATCATTCTCATAAGCTTACCTGGCAGATCAACCAATTTCGCTCACTGTAACGCCCGTCGTTGTCACCATCGTCCTTGTTGCCGTAGCTCGGCTTCACCCATCTTCGTCCTCTGTCGTCCGGAGATACTGATGGCTTCCCGAAAGTACACCGTCGACCAGCTCTTGGCCTTAAAGGGCTCCAAGCAGGAGCTGTCCATGGAGAAAGCGTTGTTCGAGACAACCAAAGACAGCCAAGTCCTCTGTGCGTACCTATCGCTGTCATTTGTTGCTATTATGCAAACTGACCGAAGTTTGCAGCCCACATCATGAACCACAGAGTTCGCTACAGAAGAGGCCTGCCTTCCTTGTCCAGAGCAGCCAATGCCGAGGCCCGCAAGTCGTCTTCTACGGAATCGGAGACTGTGCCCATTGTCAAGACACAGGCTCCTCCTCAACTCCCCGAGCAAGCCTTTGTCGCCACTGTCGCCGCTGCTGATGCCAACCAGCTCGATGGTCAGGGCAGCCGCCAACTCGACGGACAAGATGCCGAGCCCGAGATTCTGGCCCCCGAGCCAGTATCACAGCGACCGACCCTGCCTGACCAGAAGCGGAAAGGTTTCGAGCAGTTCTACGAGGCCGTACGATCTCCTACGCATGTCCGCGTGACTGCTGGCGGAAGAATTGTACCCAACACTCTTGATCCCTCCCACTCATCGCCCACTGGCAAGGGCAGCAAGGAGAGACTTACAGAGAACAATGGTCAGTTGCCTTTCGGTCAGGCTCAAGCTCCCAACATGCCATTCCTTCCTGGTCACCCGATGATGGCTCCCATGCAGCCTGGTATGCCGGCGATGCCGATGCCTATGCACCCCGGCTACCTCATGACACCTCCCTTTGGCGGCCAATGGTTCTTCCCTCCTCACCCCATGATGCCTATGGGCATGCCGTTCCCTGGCCCAATCATGGGCCCTCTTGGCCCTGTTTATCAGCAGCAGCCTCCCCCTACGCCCATGACGGCCGGCATTCCCCAGACCGCTCCCACCCCGACCCCCACCTCTGGTGACGCCACTTCTGACCAGTACCTCTCGAGCATTCGACCTAGTATCATCACAAAGAACCAGCTCGCAGGCCTCCGCACCAGTCTCAAGAAAGCTGAGGCACAGCTGGCATACAATCGTCACCAAATCGATGAGCGACACATGGAGGAGTACGCACGCCAGCTTCGGGGGGATATTCAGCACTTCGAGCTCAAGCTCAAGGGGGAGCTGGCTCGCGAGGCCGGCAACAACTTGGGTCGTGAATACTCGGCGGACAAGACTGAGGACAGCGCCGACGCCAAGACCAAGAGCGACAGCGATGACAAGCCGAAGCCTCGCAAGAGGGAGAAGGTCAAGCTAACTGTCGACACCTCTTTCAAGCCTTCTCTGCTGCCCTCTGCGGCTCTGGCTCCCGTCTTCCAGCCGCAGGCTGAGAGTATCCGTGAGACTAGCGTATCGATCCAGCGAAAGACAGTTCAAGACAAGCCCAAGGATGCCTTCAACGGTGGTAGGTACCACGGCCCCATTCCCGCCAATTTGGAGGAGAGCCGCTATCTTTCCATGCCCCCTACGCCAGCCGACGACGCGTTCTCCAATTTCGCCCGTGATAACGCGGGCCTGGGACTGCCCTATCTTGTTGGGGAGGTGCCTTTCGGACTGGACCCTAGCCCTGATCTTCGCGACTACATCTACCATCGCTCTCTTACGCAAGACGAGGAGATGGCCAAACACCTCTTTTGGACCGATGCCCCCGTGCACCTGCGCAAGAAGTTCCCCAAGTTCGATGGCAAGGACTTCTACCCAGTCTCTCCCGAGAAGCAGCCCCGGCCCGAAGGAAATGTCGTCGAGAAGCTGCCCACGGGAAGACCCGAGAAGGACTACGGTTTCTCGCTGCCTGCCGCTACTGACCTGGATCCGTTCGCGCCTCTGGAGCCATACCGCAATGTGTTGAAGACCAGAACCGTGTCGGCCCGCGAGCGCGACCAGAAGCGAGCTACAAAGTCGGATAATGTGACTTCTCCCATGAAGCCTCGCAGTGGCAACAAGCTTCGCCCGGTAGCTTACTTTAACAGCCAAGGTGTCGAGTCGAAGGATAGTTCCGGCTCGTCTGACCAGATTGGCGAGACGGAGTCAGAACGGGCGTACTTCAACTCTTGGTAAGTCAGCTGTCATTGTCTCTCATCACCACTTCATTTGGCCTTTCCTGTGCCTTCTGTCGTCTCTCTGTCTTCTATCACCTCCGTCTATCTTCGTCGAGATTATCGCTGACACATTGAAGCGTTCGCGCCTGGTCTGAGCGAGTGACTGCCACTGCGGCCGCTCTTCCCGGCGCCGTCACGTCAGAGAATGCCCAGGGTTACCTTCCGCAATACTCCATCGGCCACGCTGCCGCTTCACTTTCTCCTGCCATTGTCAAGGCCGCAGGACAGCCTGTCCGCTTGTCTCCTGCTAAGGCAAATGACAATGACAATCTTCATGCGGCGCTTAGCCGCCTGGCTATCTCAGCCGATGGTCGGCCCGAGAACCAGCCTCCTCATCGTTCCATTGTAAGTTGTTTGTGGATAGACCACATCGAGAAAGACACTGACCGTCGCGCACAGCAAATCAAGTAAGCGCATCACATCGAACGTTGCGAGAAATTGCTATCCAATGTATGATTATGAAGTGCGTTCAGAAGCCCAGATCAAGGCATGATTTCAAGTATTCAGGGGTGTAATGACGAATTATGGTATGAATACGATCAAAACGAATGGCAGAAGGACAAAAACAGATGCAATAGAGAATTGATATACTACACGGTCAAAAATGCCTTGTTCGTAGAGTGTCAGAGGCCAAAAGCCAACTTTGCTTGGTATTCAGGAATGGTGAATGAACCCGTCCATCAATTGTGATTACGATGTTGCTCGAGCGCAAGCCGGTTGATGGGACAGTGCGAAGGTAGGGAATCTGCCCGAGATACGACGAAATGCACTGTATACATTTGCGATAAGCGAGGGGCGGGGTGTGCTACGATAAGGATTTTTTTTTTGCGCCTGGGAAAAAAATTTGGGTGGGAATCGCTCTTGGAAGCATCGGTCCCATCGTCTTCCACAGTTGGTCCCGACGGATTGGAACACGACAAGCACAATGTCGACTCCAACTCTTGCCGAGAAGCTGGACAAGATCCGGTCCCCCGGCCTTCAGAGCCAGAAGAGGGTATGTTTTGCTCGGGTCATTCTTTTCTTGAGGGTATGTCACTGACCGACGTCAAGACCGCAGTAGTCCTCGAGGCGGTCGACACGACATTGAAGGAGCAGAAAACTGAGCCTACACCGACCGGCTACTTCGCCGCCCTTTTGGCCCTTCTCACACAAGCCGTCGAGAGCGGCAACGTTGCCTCCGAAACAACGACCTCCGTTGTCTACCTGCTCGATACCGTTACCCCGTTTGCGCCCCAACCAATCCTCCGAGCGAAGTTCACCCAGATCCTCACTTCCCTCGCCCCCGTCCTCCTCCTCGAAGATGCCGAAGCCCTACTTCTCAGGTCCTCCATGGGCTGCCTGGAGTCTCTGCTGCTCGCGCAGGATTCCGCCGCCTGGGAGCTGGGCATCACCCAAATCGGCCCCCGAAGAGCCGTTGCTGGTCTGCTGAACCTTGCCCTCGACCATCGCCCGAAGATCCGAAAGAGGGCGCAAGAGGCCCTACGCAAGGTTCTGACGAACCCGCCTCCGAGTCCTTCGCTAGATCACCCGGCCGCCGACATGTGCGCGCACACCGCTCTTGCGAACCTAGAAGATTTGGCCACCAAGGCTGCGCAGGCCAGGAAGCAGAAGAATGGAGCCGAGTCAGCGCACGATCCCGCTCTGATCCACGCCCTCCAGCTCATCAAGACCGTCGCGTCCTCCAGCGGTGGTTGGCCCAGCAAGAAGATTGAGTCTCTGTGCGAGCTGCTCCTGGGTATTTCCAGATCAGGCAACGAGTACATGACTATGGCCTCTTTTGAGATCTTTGAGATGATTTTCGAGGGCATGGCCGATGAGGTTGCTTCGGCCAAGCTCCCCCGACTTATGGAGATCATTTCCGAATTGCGCCCTGCTGCAAACGACACCCAGCTTATTCCGCCATGGCTCGCAATTCTTTCAAGGGGCTACGACGTTTCTGCGCAGCTTGAGCCCGAGGATGTGTTTCAGAACTTGCCCGAGATCTTCTCCATGGTCGCCCAGTACCTGGAGTCTTCCGCCCACAACATCCGTGTCTCTGCGTCTGAGTGCCTAGTCTCATTTCTTGCAAACTGCGTTCCTAAGCAAGTCATCCTCGAACCATCCATCTACGACGAGAAGACTCTGGACAAGATTGCCAAGATTGCAGAGACCCTTCTTAGCGTAAAGTATCAGCAGGCTTGGATGGAGAGCTTCAATGTGTTCGGAGCCATGTTTGATTCCCTGAGGTGGCGCGCTCACCCCATGATGCTCAACATCACCAAGGCCGTTGGCGATCTTCGTGGTAGCGATTCTTTCCAGGGCAAAAAGGAGGCCGATGAGGTCATTGGAAAGGCCGTCCGCGCCATGGGCCCTGAGGCGGTGCTCTCTATCCTTCCCTTGAACCTGGCCAAGCCTGTGAAGGGCCAGCAGGGTCGTGCGTGGATGTTCCCCATCCTCCGCGACTACGTCAGTAACACCAACCTTGCTCACTTCCGCCGCGAGATGGTTCCTCTGAGTGAGCTCATGTTCCAAAGGGTCCTGGACCATGGTAAGGCGGAGAAGACGATGGAGGTCAAGATCTTCGAGACCCTCGTGCAACAAATTTGGGCGACTCTGCCGGGATACTGCGACCTTCCCCTCGACCTGACTGAGGCATTTGACCAGGGTTTTGCCGAGCTTCTGGCCAACATTTTGTACAAGCAGGTTGAGTTGCGCCTGGAGGTTTGCCGTGCGCTCAAGATCCTTGTTGAGTCGAACCAGGCCATCGCCTCTATTGAGGACGCTGAGGAAGACCTCGTCCTTCAGAGCCGTGTCTCCAGGGCCACAGCGAAGAAGAACCTGGAGCACTTGGGCGGGTTTGCGGCCAATATGCTGGCTGTCCTCTTCAACGTCTACACGCAGACCCTGCCCCAGTCAAGGGGACCTATCCTACTTACTATCAACGCTTTCCTGAGCGTCACTCCCGAGAAGGAGCTTGTTGAGACCTTTGATCGCGTCAGCAAAATGCTCGCAGCGGAACTGCAGCAGACTGCCGAGCAAGAGAAGCCCAAGCAGCAGCAGAAGTCCTCGGAACAAATGCCGTCAACAAGCAACACGCTTATGGACCTGATCATCACTATCTCGGTCTACCTGCCCCGTGAGAGCTTCTCTGCTCTTTTCGAGATCGCCGCCGTCATCATTTTCAAGGAAAACGAGCCGCAATTGCAGAAGAAGGCCTACAAGCTGGTTCCTCGTCTGGCCGAGTCCGAGACTGGCAAGCTCGCCCTCCAAGAGCGCACCGAAGAGCTGCAACAAATGTTCCTCAACAGTGCTGAGAAGGTCTCCGCTCCAGCTCGCCGTGAGCGTCTGGGCGCCCTCTCATCTCTCCTCGCCTTCATCCCCGACACCTCTCTTCACTTCATTCCCGCAATCCTTAGCGAGGTCGTCATCTGCTGCAAGGAGAACAACGAGCGCGCCAGAGAAGCAGCCTATGACCTTCTCGTCCAGATGGGCCAGCGCATGGAGGCCGCCAACAACGCCACCATTGACAACTCCAAGGTCCCGCACATGCCCGCCGACGCACCCGCCGGCAAGGCCAACATCGAGGAGTTCCTCACCATGGTCAGCGCCGGTCTCGTCGGCAGCACGCCGCACATGATCTCCGCCTCCATCACGGCCCTCAGCCGCGTTCTCTACGAGTTCCGTCGTTCCTTCAGCACAAACACCCTCGCCGACCTCGTGCAAACAATGGACCTCTTCCTGACCTCCAACAACCGCGAGATCGTCAAGAGCGTCCTGGGCTTCGTCAAGATCTGCGTCGTCAGCCTGCCCTCGGAGCTCGTCATCCCTCGCCTGTCGAGCCTGATCCCCAATCTCATCATCTGGGGCCACGAGCACAAGGGCCACTTCAAGAGCAAGGTCCGCCATATCCTCGAGCGCATGGTCCGCAAGTTCGGCTACGAGCTTGTCAACCAGAACTGCCCCGAGTCCGACCGCAAGCTCATCAACAACATCCGCAAGACCAAGGAGCGCAGCAAGAAGAAGAAGGAGACCGCCCGCCAGGCCGGCGAGGAGAGCGACGACGACGGCGACGCCCGCCACGGCCGCAAGTTCGACAACGAGCTCGACCAGGCCCTCTACAGCAGCGACTCGGACGGCTCTGATGACGATGATTCCGACGACGGCGAGGGCGCCGCCGCTTTCAAGGCCAAGCGCGGCAACCGCAAGGGCGGAAACACGTACATTGTCGAGGACGAGGACGAGCCTCTCGACCTGCTCGACCGCAACGCCCTCGCCAACATCTCCTCGACCAAGCCTGTCAAGATGCGCAAGCCGGCACGATCCAAGGCGAAGATGGACCTTGACGGCAAGCTCATCCTCGGCAAGGACAGCGACGACGAAATGGAGGTCGACGGCGGCGCCGGCGAAGGCTCCGGCGTCAACGCCTACGTCGCGGCGCTCAAGGGTAAGGACGTCGCGCGCAAGGGCCGCGGCGGCAAGCTCAAGTTCAGCAACAAGCGCGGCCAGGACGACGAGGACATGGAGGACATGGACGAGGGCGACGCGGCTGCGGTCAAGGCGCAGGTCGATAGGAACAGAGGCGGCGCCGGTGGCAGGCCTTTCCGCGGCGGTCGTGGTGGCCGTGGCGGTGGTGCGCGTGGCGGACGTGGTGGCAGGGGCGGTATCGCCGCCGGACGCAAGGGGCTTGGTGAGGAGAGGAGACGGGGCCCGATGTCTGGTGGTGGTGTGAACAAGGGCCGCGGCAGAGGTGGTGGCCGAAGGTAGTGGATACGTCTGGTATATATGTGTGTTTTTTCTTTGGGATGTACAGTCTGATTATACCCGTCTAAATGAGGTAAAAAGCGATCCCTCTTTTTCGAAAAGGGTCTTTCACGTGGCGTCTTAACGGCAGGTAGAGAAAAAGAAGAACGAAATTGGTATTTACAAACGAACGACTCGTGATCCCATCTATTGCATGCATGACTTGCAAGTTTGTGTTTTATCGTAGCACGGTTTGATTAGAATAAAAGAGAGAGATAGAGATTGAGAGAAAGAAGTCTCTGTTGCGACTTGCGGCCGGCTCAAAACCCAGACCAGGGGCTTCATCTTTTCACATCGTTATATAACATGCATTGAAGCCCATTCTCTTTGCATAAAACACGCGGGGGGACACATAATACAACAACCCCACGAAGCTCCCGAGAAACCAAAGGCACATCGTGATTCTAAACGTACAACCCAAAACTCCGAACCCAGTGGGTGGCTGCTGCTGCCGATGCTGCTGCTTCACCTGAACTTGCTGAAAATAACGGCGACAATAAGGAGAACGAGGATCGTGATGATGGAGATGGTAATCACCCGATTGGTAGCCATCCTACAGCGTACCGGCGTTAGCATTTCGCAATCATTCCACTGCAGTAGATGGGGAAAAGGACGATATTTACCTACGGGCCATCCCCCGCAGTGTCTTGACACTGCGGTCCACGTATCCCTCGCTCTCAAGGAGGCGGTCATGGGTGTGCTGGATGGTTTCGCGCTGGCGGTGCAGGTCAGCGAGGGTACTGGCGCCGATGGACTCCGTCTCGTTGGCCAGAGCCTGGGAGGCCTTGAGGCGCTGAGTGGAGCGGTCGAGACGGTCGGTGCCGTTGAGCAGCTGCTGGCGCTGCTCGAGCTGAACGTCTTGGCCGGAGCCTGATGGGTTGTCGGTATAGCGAGCACCGAAGAGGGCGGCGCGGTCGTCGGCAAGGGAGCGGAGCTTGCGCTTCTGGGAGTCGATGTCGGATTCGTGGTTGCGGAAGCGGGCGTTGATCTTGGAGCGGAGGGTCGTGGGGATGTTTGCCTTTTCGAGGCGCATCTGGGCGAGCTGTGATATGTCACTGTTAGCACCCTCAGGACCGACTTGCTTAGGGTTATGGGGTTCGCAATTACAAGCTCATCTGCCTCCTCGAGGGCGCGCTCTGCGGAGCTGAGAGCTGCTTTGCGCGGCTCACCCGAGAGCTCGGGGATCTGGTCGAGCTTCTGGACCAGGTCGGCCTGGACGAGCTTGAGCTCGGCTTCGTAGTCGCTGAAGCGCTCAGAGCCGGGCTCGGTCTCGAGAGGGTTGGACATCTTGGGCGAGTGCTGCGTCGAAGTCGGCGGTTTCGAGGATGATCAGAGGGCTCGGCCAAGCAAGCGGGAGAGATGGTGTTCGCCCTCGACGGCGATTAGGAGACGGCGGGTACCCGGGATGGAGAGCGGAGCGCCTCCTTTATGGACTTCTGCGTGTAGTCTAACGGCGAATGCGGATGTCGTTTCGTCGGAAGTTGAGTTGCAAAAACAGAAAGGGTTGTCGGGAACGTTGGTGTTGTAGGAGCGCTGGAACGGCCGGATGCGATCAAAGGGTGGGATGGGGGGCGAGCGATTGCGTTGTTGGAAGGTCGAAGGTCGCAAGTAGCATGCGTAAGTCTGGACCGGCCTTGGCGACATCATGCTCCCGAGTGGCTGGTGCTCCAATGGGGTCTGACGAGGCGCTCAGGTCCACAGTGGCTAGTGTCCAGCCGGTGCCTGGAGAAGAACGAAGCCAGAAACACGTGACCAATCTGGACCGTGCACCGGCTGCTGGCCCCATCCGCTGCAGGCTTTTAATGGCAGTTTGGCGGCGCAAACGAAGTTTACCCCTTTCTCTTCTTTTTCCTTCAAGTTGATTATACCCCCGGTTCGAGGAAAACCGGCTCTGCGTCGACTGGCATTTCGGTGCCTGACGGACGTCGAGTTGAACTTAAGCCGGGCAGAAGGATGGTGGGTGTCTCCTTTCGGGGGGATGCTTCGTCACGTCGCTTTTAAGAATTGGGAACTCGATCTCACGTTTTCCGATCCCGTTGAGTGCTCGACATTTTTCATCGTAGACAATTGTTTGAAGTCTCCAAATGATTTGTGCCTCGTAGACAAGCGACATGGACGCTGCTACGGTAGAGGAACTGCCGCGTACGGCTCGCTCTTGGCCTGAAGTTCCCGCGGTGACCTATGTTTGTATGGGTATTCCGCTGGTGCAGATCCCAAGCATAAGGTAACCGCAACATGGAAACTTCCCCGTTGAGACGATGAACTTATTGCCAAGAATCACAAGACAAAGTTGATGTTTCGGCATACAGATTTCCTGAAAGTCATTCTCAAGTACCTATGCCGGGTGTAAGAATATCTATCTGCCTGATGTCCGACGCAATGCCACGTCTTAAGACAGGGACTCAATATTGCGTGTCCGTCTCGTGAGTTACAATGTAGGCAGACCGACTGCTTCTTGAAATTTTCATGTGAAAGTTATCCACTATCGTCCATGTGGGTCAACCAGGCATCGAGAGGACTGGAGGCATCTCGAGAAATTTCTGATGGTAGAGGCGTTGGATGTGACGGGATTTTCAGCAGACGCTTTCTGCGCGCTTACCAGGCGCATCGATCATCTGTCATGCGCCACGACACAGAACCTCGTTCGCAACATAACACACCTGCCTAAATGCAGTCGAATGGTTGGAACCTGCCTTCGCCCACAAAGACCACTTTGGATCGACTCTCTCCCTCACTTTCCGTGGTTTGCAAAGACAAGTTCTGCCATCAGCAACATGTCGAACCGAAAAAGCGGCAATATAAAGGCGGTCACCCGCCTCTTTTCAAAAATTTGCGCCGTCGTCGCCCACCGCAGGCAGAAATCCCCACATAAAAGTCCACTGGCCCGTGCGTCTTGGCCGTCCGCCCGAGATCTATAAAACGGCGACCTCTCGCCGCGAATTTTAGGCTTTTCTTCTTCTTTTTTTCCTTATGTCGACAATACTTCAGAGAATCATTTCTATAGTATTCGACCTATTCTTGGTTCCCTACAGGAGCCACAGATCCCACCCTGGTTGATGAATGATATCCTCGACACCCTAGAGTGAAGAACTCTGGTTGCTTTCGCACTCTCCGTTCTGGAGGGCGGCTCTTGCCCTTGAGGCTTGGGCTGTATAGAAGGCGGTGATGATCTCGTCCCTGACTGTGGTCTTGCCCTTGGGCGCATGGTCAGGGTGGGTGTCGATGGACGTCTGACAGGCGTGTCTTTCTTCTCTTTTTCATTGCTGTCTGGGGCTTGCCCTGGTTGCGAAGAAGAAGCTGTCAATTCGTCTGTGTCGCGTGCGTTTTTTATTAAAGCAGTGACGCGTCTCAATTTACAGTCACCCTTTACTCGACGGACCGCTCGCTCCTGCTGATTCTGCAAGTCACCGCTCGAATTTTTTCTCTTGAGGAACAGATGCCAAATGTCAGGGGTCTCGTGATGCAATAGCTTGGAAAATGTGAGGCTGCAGACGCTGGCGATAGTCAACGCCCTTGAGACGGTTATTGGGCTGCGATATGCAAGACGTCTCACCCTTTCGGTGTTCAGCTGTCGCGCGGACTCGTCAGATATCAAATAAAGCAGATGCACTATCAAACGTTGTTCCACATATCAGCCTCCATCAGTCTTCGTTCGACAAGTGTGTGGTCAAGAAAATCGGCCAGCCACCTTGTGGCGTCGGGATCGTGAACAGTCGAAAAGCAGGTCGCGACAAGGAGGGGCTGGGGAGCGCTGGGGACTTCTAAAGATCAGGCGCGCAGGTTGCAGGGATTGTCAATGCAAGCGTCATTGCGCCTGGGAGCTCCGGCAGCAGAGTTTCGTTTCATCGCATCGTGATCCGCGGCCGAACCGAACGCTCCCTTTCCCGACACACATCTGCATACCGTCTCTCCTCCTCCTCGTACCCTTCTCCCTCGTCGCTGTCAAAACTTATCTTAAAAACATCGGAGGACGCACCCGTTGCAGCTTGTTGGTAGCCACGTGTCGATCGCTCTACTGTCCAGTCCTCTGAGGGATACCCATATCGGATCCATACCGGAAACCCACGAAACGGAGCAGGAATGGCGCCAGGTCAGCCGCTGTAAGTTGTTCGTTCTGTTGTTCCCTGTCTATCTGCACGTCTTCCTGCCAGTGGATTTTCATCCTTTTCCCGTACAAACGCTTTCCCACATGCTCGTCCACCAAGTATCTGCATGTTACCACCGCTGCCGCACTCTCCTCCCCCCCCGAACCCGTCCGTCACCTGCGCAAGTTGCAGCACTAGGTGCATTGGTCCACAGCCCGGTGTGTGCGGTGTGTGCAACCATGCCCACCACGTTCGCCTCCTCAGACTCCTCAGACTCCCAGAGACTCTCGAGACTTTGTTCTTCTCCAAAAACCCAAGTTTGGGATGAGCGGTGGCGCGGGGTTGGCATGTGCGAAACCCGTCCATCCCATTGTTCTTCTTCCCCAAATCGACGCCCGTGGCTTGCACCTTGGACCCCGCCATTCCAAGACATTTCGGGCTGAGAGCTGCGCAAGCTGCGAAGCTTACCGGCCTCCTCGATTCCTGTCTCTTTCTTCTGCCCGCTCTTGCCTTTTATACACCTTATGTTCCTGTAACATCGCAAAATCTCTTTTCAACCTGCACCCACGAGACGTGGCTTGGCCAAACTTCAGGCTCTGCATTGTTCGTACCGTTTGCAGGTGTCTCAGTGATGTCTACTGCTTCAATAATGCCCCGTCGACCTCCGTCGTTGGAATCCGTGGGTTCTGTGGGCTCCCCCATTGACCCGAAGCTTAGGAAAAAGGTCGCCGTCGTCGGCAGTGGATGTGCCGGCATTGCTGCCCTCTGGGCGTTGAATCGAAGCTATCATGATGTCTACATGTATGAGGCCGCGTCAAGGCTCGGCGGACACACGAATACCGTAACTTGGAAGAATGGAAAGTATGAGACGAGGGTCGACACAGGATTCATCGTCCTCAACGCGGCGACGTACCGTGAGTTCACCATGCTGGCTAGATGAGGGCTTCTACTCACACGGTGAACAGCAAACTTCATCAACTTTCTGAAGAGGGTCAAGGTGGATACGGTCCCGACGGAGATGACGTTCGGTGTAACGCGAGATCACGGCTTATTCGAATGGGCCGGCACGAGCTTGGACGCCCTCTTTTCCCAGCGCAAGAACATCTTTTCGCTGCGCATGTGGAGGATGATCTTCGACATTATCCGCTTCAATCAGTTCGCCCTGGACTTGTTGATGGCCGATGATGAGAATGATGCCGCCGCGATGAATGGGTACAGCAAGGGAGCAAGGCGGGAGGAGACGATTGGCGAATACCTCGACAGGGAAGGCTACTCGGACGCCTTCAGGGACGACTACCTTATTCCCATGACCGCTGCGGTGTGGAGCACGAGCCCGGACAAGTGCACACTCGATTTCCCAGCTGTCACCCTCGTTCGTTTCATGTAAGTGTTTCCCGCTGATGGACAATTATTGATGCTGACATCAGAGCAGGTGGAATCACCATCTCCTGTCAACCATTTCGACCAGACCGCAGTGGCTGACCCTGAAGAAGTGTGGAAAGTCATACATCGACGCCGTGATGCACGGATTCCCTTCAAACCACCTCTTCCTTAACACGCAAGTCACCCAGGTCACGAGTGAGGAGGACGGCAGAGTACGAGTCCACACCCACAACGGAAAGTCCGATGTATACGACCATGTCATATTGGCAACTCATGGAGACCAGGCCCTCAGGATAATTGGATCATCCGCAACGCCAGAGGAGAAGGAGATTCTGTCTGCGTTCAAGACGTCAGAGAACTCAGTCGTGCTGCACTCCGACCTCTCACACATGCCAGCCTCAGAGAAGGCCTGGTCGAGCTGGAACTACCTCACTCTCTCATCACCCTCAACTGGGAAGCAGAACATTGACCAGGTCTCCTTGACGTACAACATGAATATTCTGCAGCATATCCCTCGCGAGACCTTCGGCGATGTCCTCGTCACGATGAACCCCCTGCACCAGCCGAACCCGGACACGATCCAGGGCTCTTTCACTTACCGCCACCCCCTCTACACCCCGGAGGCCGTTCGCGCACAGAAGCTATTGCCACGCATTCAGAACAAGCGTGGAATCAGTTACGCCGGAGCATGGACGAAGTACGGCTTTCATGAGGACGGCTTCAGCAGCGGTCTGCACATTGCACAGGATCACCTCTACGCGAAGCTGCCGTTCCAGTTTGTCGATTCCACGTACAGCCGAGGGAGGAAGCCCTCACTGGGACTTGCTGATTTGTTTGTGAGACTCATCATTCTGATAATTCAGGTGTTTGTTGTGAGAGTGTTGGAGAGAGCCATTGGCGCAGCGATGAGGGTCGTTACTCCGCGTGCAAACCGCCTGAAAAGGGCCGTCAAGAACGGGAAGGCTGCATGAGGCAGCTTACAGGCTGGCAACCCACCGTAAATAGATACCTACCTTTCAAATCCCCATCACCCAAAGCAAGGTCGATACCACGCAGATATGCAGGTGTCGTGTCGATGCATGCAAGTCAGTTGTCGTCCAGTGAGTGAAGCACATGCCCCAGGGACCTACAGCGGGATGTCCACTCAGCCCCTCAGCGCAAGGACCCCTAAAAACCGCTGAAGTCAAAGCCCGGTGGTGCGGAACAAACCCCACCCGTCCCGGTAACTTCGGCGTCTGCCGGCGCAGCAGCTCAACCCATCTCACCTCGAATTCCCGAATGGCGTGATACCCAAACTCTTCATCCTCAAACCGCGAAAACCCCCGCGATCATGAACGCCTTACCGCGCCTCCCATGGCGCCAATCGGCACAGAGATGGAGTTGCTTCTTTTGCCAACACGCCCGCCCGTCGCCTCGAAACCTCTCCTCTCCCGCCGCCCGCCGCGCCGCATCAACCACACCTTCGCCGAGGCAGCAAACCGGTCCTAGCTTCGGCGGCGCTCCGTCCATGGAGCAGGTGCATGCCCATTATAGACGGAAGAACGCTACGACAGCGTAGGAACATATACATTTTCAATTGGGCCTCGAAACGGTTGCTAAGAGAGTACGCAGGTACTACACCCTCAGCGTCATTCTTGGTACAGTCGCACTGTCATACGGCTCCGTCCCTCTCTACAAAATGGTGCGCATTCCCTTCTCCCTCTGCAGATATGCAATCAGCAAAGCTGACCCCTCTGTTCTAGATCTGCCAAACAACAGGCTGGGGTGGCCAACCCATCCGTGCCCACGGCCCCGATGTCGACTACAGCGAAGACGGCCTCGCCTCGCGCCTGGTCCCCGTGACCTCGGCCAACCGCATCCGCGTCACATTCAGCTCCTCCGTCTCCGACGTGCTTCCTTGGAAGTTCATGCCGCAGCAGAGAGAGGTACGCGTGCTCCCCGGCGAGACGGCGCTGGCGTTTTACACGGCGACGAACACCTCCGACACGGACATCATCGGCGTGGCGACTTACAGCGTGACTCCTGGGCAGGTGGCGCCGTACTTTAGCAAGATCCAATGCTTTTGTTTTGAAGAGCAGCGGTTGAATGCGGGCGAGACAGTCGACATGCCCGTGTTTTTCTACCTTGATCCGGATATCGTGAACGACGTCAACATGCGCGGTATCGAGACTGTGACGTTGAATTATACATTCTTCAGTACGTTTTGTTGGTTCGTATAATATTGGATTGTCGCTAATGAGTTGAACAGAGGCCAAGTACGACGACAATGGCAGGTTCAAGGCACCTGTGCCGATTGAGCAGAAGTAACCTATGATCTGAACGAATCCGCACTGCGGGATATCGCCACTCCAACACCAACCACCGAAACACTACTGTACAAAAAGATTGTGCTTCTACACCCGTATCATACTAAGAAGCCATAGCATTTCAGAAGGAGGGGCATTTTGACAGGCGTTTACAGGCTACAAGCATCCGAGGACATGAATTAAGCGATATGTAGGTGGACATCTGTAGGATATCATTCCGGCAATGGTCAGAAAATACCGCAGGCCTGTGAACGTTGCACAGGCAATTGAGAGTATTGAAGCTTGAATGGCAACGCAATATTGTATCCAGGTGGTCCGTGAAAAGCTCACTCTAGGAAAGGAATGAGCGCATGATCTCATTGTCTGGACTCGTCCCATGGTAAATACACTGGCGACATGCGAGCTGAGATTCGTTATCTTATCGCCGATGCGGCGGACCTCGAAAGTTTCGCCAGGTACAGAAGCTTGGACCACCTTTCGGGAACCATCACGTGGACCACCTAGGGCAGTTTTTGGTCACGTGTCAGCTGCAGCCGAATTTCGTGTGGGCGTGCAAAATCGACCATGGCCTGTCGGAACTTTTTTTCGACTTTCCTTTGGACATTCCGCTCTCCGACAACCATCAAGAACTCATTCCCGCCCAACGACGTTCCTACTAACGCCCAGCCAAAATGACCAAGGTTAACAAGAGTACGTTCCGCTACTACTCTTGCGATCAATTGACAAAAATGCTGACTTTCTCGCAAAGTGGTTCACTCCAGCCGCCGCAAGTCGCGCGCTGCCCACTTCGGTGCCCCCTCCAGCACCCGTCGCTTCATCATGAGCGCTCCCCTCTCCAAGGAGCTCCGTGAGAAGTACAACGTACGTCAACCCGCCGCGATGGCCTCCCAACCGACAGACACTGACCCCCACAAAGGTCCGCAGCATCCCCATCCGCAAGGACGACGAGGTCACCATCGTCCGCGGCACCAACAAGGGCCGTGAGGGCAAGATCACCTCCGTCTACCGCCTCAAGTACGTTGTCCACGTCGAGCGCGTCGTCCGCGACAAGGCCTCCGGCCAGTCCGTCCCTCTGGGCATCCACCCCTCCAACGTCGTCATCACCAAGCTCAAGCTCGACAAGGACCGTGAGTCCATCCTTGAGCGCATCAAGGTCGGCCGCGAGCTCCGCGTCAAGTCCACCGCCTCCGCCTAAATTTTCCCCAACATCAATGATGACGACCATCCCAGCCTGAGCAGGGTTTGAAAAAGTTCTGTCTCTGGCTGGGATTCACCCAACGATCAGCGGCAATTCAAGGGACAACACAAAACGGTATTACTCAAAAGCACGGCGGCGGGAATGACATACTACGATATCCATCGACGGCGTTTTGCGATGACGACGCAACACCTTGAACGCGTTTTGGCAATGGCATTGCCTGGAATGGGAAAGGACATGAGGGAATCTTAAGGCTAAAAAGCAAAAAAGTTTCTAGAAAATCAAATGAGAAATGCTCTTTCTCAATGGCCACTTCCACGTCTTCCGTGAAGTGCTCCATGGGAGGTTCTCCCGAAGCCACCATCGCCCGCCCCTGCGGGGGCGATGCTGTCTTGGGGCCACACTCCCCTCTTTGCTACACACAAGTTGTGACCTGCTGACCTGACCACAGCACTGCTTGCGAAGAGGATACTCGTTCCCTTACATGAAATTGGAATGCCTCTCAATGGTAGGTCCGTCGTAGAAGTTCGTGTGCATGTACGCTAGGATATCTCCGCGTTAACCAACAAGATCCATGGTTTTCGAGGTATACGACTGGCGAAGAGTAACCCGGTAGGAGGGACTTTTCCAATTGGAATCACCACTCTCCTGCTCTCGCCCGAAGATTTTCACTGAGCTTTGTCTATGAGGTCGGAAATTTGATGGTGAGGTACATACTTTCTCCTTTCGTTTTGTCTTTTGGCATGAACCCCGATTGTCTTGTAAAGATCCAACGCAACTGCTGTGAGGTAGCCCAAGGTGCTGCGCACACAGCTGGTAGATAGGTTACAGGACCAATACACACAAGTTTCAGCACCCTCGTTTCCCTGCTTCATACCTGCCGCCCTTGGGCGCTACTAAAGCGTCGCCAATCACACTTCGAAACGGTCTTGAATCCAAGTGATGCTGCCAGAGGCGCTCAATTCACGGGAATTTCTCGGGAATGATGGCTTGATCGCAACATTTCGTTCTTTGGTCAATCCTCTCGCTCAGTCCCGCGTTTTCCCCTGGCGGGCCGTGTAAGTCGGCGGAACAGTCGTAGTCGCTACTTGAGACTGAAGCCAAAGCAAGCCATCAGGGAATCAGCAATATATTGGTTTATCATTCATATCTATTGCATTTTCTATGGAGGAAGGAAGAGGAGGTTGGCTAGGGTTGACATCTTACAAGTGCACGGCCTTAATACATCAGTACATGCATTTGCTCACGTTCAACCTTATTGCGCGATACCATTCTCCTCGAGCTGGACTGCGTCCTGGTTCAATCTTACTTTGGTCAAATGCGAAACAGCAGCAAAGCACAAACGGAAATGTTTTGTTAGTCATTTTCCGACTGTCTGTCTCATGATTGAGCAGCGCAACGGAGGTCATCTCCGTCCGGTGACGCGATCGGAGGTCAGCGACAACGGCCATCAGGCGAACGCCGGTCGCCCATTATGCATATAACCTCATTGTCTAACCCAGGCCGGTTGATACAGGAGACCAAATTCAAACAGCCCCATTGATACGGTACTCTTCTTGCGCTCAAACGATGTCTCGCGATCCAAATCGGCCAAATATCGTCCTAGCTCTAGCCGACAATCTGGGATGGGGAGAGCTGGGATGTTACGGCGGAGGCGCTCTCCGGGGCGCCGCGACTCCCCGAATCGACAAGCTCGCCACCGAGGGTCTCCTCCTGCACAACTTCAACGTCGAAAGCGACTGCGTGCCCACGCGGTCCGCGTTGATGACGGGGCGCCACCCCATCCGCACAGGGTGTCGACAATCGGTCCCGGCCGGCTTCCCGCAAGGTCTCACCCCGTGGGAGAAGACGCTCGCCGAGTGCCTCAAGGACAACCACTACGCCACCGCACACCATGGGAAGTGGCATTTGGGCGACGTCCCCGGGCGATACCCGTCTGATCGCGGTTTCGACGAGTGGTTCGGGATCCCGAGGACCACGGACGAGACGCAGTTCACCTCGGCCATCGGGTACACGCCCGAGGTCGCGGAGCTTCCGTACATCATGAAGGGTGTAGCTGGAGAAGATTCGGAGAATGTTCGCATTTACGACCTTGAGGCTCGACGGCTGATTGACGAGATGCTGGTGGAACGATCAAAGGACTGGCTTACACGGCAGGTGGAGGCAGAGAAGCCCTTCTTCCTCTACCATCCTCTCGTCCACCTTCACTTCCCGACTCTGCCTCACAAAGACTTCTCTGGGAAGACGGGGCAGGGTGACTTTGCGGACTCGATGGCCGAGATGGACTACCGCGTCGGCGAGCTGCTGGATCATGTCGATTCCTTGGGGGTCAGGGACAACACCATCTTCATATTCGCCTCGGACAACGGACCCGAGTTCAGAGAGCCGTACCGTGGCACCGCCGGTCCTTGGTCCGGGACGTATCACACGGCCATGGAGGGCAGTCTGCGCGTGCCGTTCATCATTCGCTGGCCTGGCCAGGTCCCGGAGGGTGTGACGTCCAACGAGATCGTCCACGTCACGGACATCTTCACGACCGTACTGGCCATGACCGGGTCCAAGTTGCCAAAGGACCGGCCAGTTGACGGCATCGATCAGACGGCCTTCTTCAAGCAGCCAAGCACGGTCAAGTCCGAGAGGGAGGGGTTCCTCTTCTACATCAAGGAGGAGCTGCGGGCCGTCAAATGGAAGGACTGGAAGCTGCACCTGGTGTGGGAGCCCAAGGTCAACCAGTCCTCGGGCCATCTCGAGTCGCCGTACTTGTTCAACACAGTGAGGGATCCAAAGGAAGAGACGGACATCTTGGCTTTCAACACGTGGGTCTTGCAGCCGATGATGAGGTTGAGGACAGAATTTCAGAAGAGTTTGACGAAGGACCCGGCGCCCCCTGATCCGTTGAAGGACTTCTTCCGATAGGAGCTCAAGCATATTTTGAGCTTCTATTAGACTATGAACAAATATCTTAGACGTCCAACGCGCATTTGTCGATCCAAGGCTGAAGCTGACGGTTCTAGACGATTTCCAAAGTCTCACCTTGGACAGTAGTGAGAACAGTCGTGGAACCCTGTCTTACTGTGAACAGCTATCCCCCGATACACGACTTATGCAACTAGATAATTCAATTCTCGTCTCAAGTGTGACCGAAAACATAGACTAGCCCCATTCTGTGAAACTGTGAGTGCAAGTATCAATGTCATGGTAGTCAAGATCTCGTGAAACAGCCCACCTGCATAAAGCCTGGGACGTGGTCCCTGTCCCGGGGATCTGGATGCGAGTTTCAATGTGATTGTTTCTCTGATTGACATGGCTCGTTGTTCTCCCTTGAAACCCGCCAACCCAAATCAAGCTTCAAGCTAGGTACTCAAGAAGTTATGGGATCTTCAACAACTACCTACCAGACGTTGTTGCAAACAGTCTTTTACGATTCAGAGGGCTACTCGTCTTTACAGAGAACCTTTGCACTTCCGCCGCAAACCGTGGCTTTTACTCCCCCAGCCAGCACATGCACCAATTTCCCCAGGTCCATCTTATGCAACGAAGTAAAGACTGAGAGCATCACTCGCGGAGTCAGCTGCTGGGCCGACAAATTCATTACTTCTTCAGCAGCTTCTTTCCCTGAAGAATGTTTTCCAACGACTTACAAAGGTGTGCAGTCCCCAGCGGGCGATGATTTCAGTACGTTCACCTCGGCTCATCCATGGTGACTCCCGCTTTGATTAAGAAAGGGTAATTCCGCTGACAATGTTCTGAATGTAGGTGAAGCGTTCACTTTAGGATACCCGGGCACAGCATGTATCAGCGGCTGGACACCGGCATGTACGACTTCCCTTACCTACAACGTCCCCACTGGCAAATACGTCCAAACTTGGTGTTGTCCCCCAGGAGGGTGGAATTGTCTAACAGCTTCCATCGGCCCACCGTGGCGGGATTGTACGAGTCTTCTTCAGACGCCAACAGAGGTCTGGATCAGGGCTTCTGAAAGCGGAGGAAAAACGATTTATGACTCTTACAGAAGGCCTCTGGCCACTTGCTGTGATTTTTACTTGGAACCTGTACTGCAACAACCTCCGACTTGCCCCTTCAGCTAACGGCCTACTGGTCACGTGATTTCCTGTAGATCGCCCTTTATTCCTATTTCCCCCCACGCGCGTAGTTACATGCGCTATCTATCAGACAATCTTATTACTTTTAACGTTACTTTAATAATAACTTCACAGCTTTAACTGAGTTTAATTACTATAGCAGACTTTCTTTAACCTTTTAACCTTTCTTCTAACTCTTATATACACCTTCTATTAACTTAGCTATCTTCTTTATAGCTTATATTTAGTCTAAGCCTTCTATTAATTAAGCTAATATCTTTATAGTTCTTTAGTTATTAGTAATATCCTTAATATTATAGTTAAGCTTAGTTAACTTACTAGCTATACTACCTTATTAAGAATATTATTAAAGTAGGTATAATAGCTAGAATTAGTAGTAAATATAGCTACCTCCTCTAGTAAGATTTACTAAAGTAAATAGGTATAAGCTATAACTATAACGTTAGTTTTTAGGACTATAAAGTAGGATATAGCTATAGTTATCCTATTTATAAAGCTTTATATATTAAAAAGTATTATTTTATTAATTATAATAAAGCTAGTTTTATAAATAGTATTAATTTTAGTATCTCAATATATACTTTAAGTAAAGCTTTATAGTATAAAACTTTATAGATTAAATAGGATAGAATATATTATAAAGTTATAGAAATTTAAGTAGTTTATTTAAATCTAAGTAGTTTATATTAGCAGTATTAACTTAAAATTAAGGATAAGAAATAAGCTTATGGCTTAGTATAAATAGTAGTATCTTAAGTATATAGCTAAGATAAGCTTTTACGTAGCTAACTTTATAAAGCTATCTCTATATAATAAGTTACATAGGTAAAGCTATTAACCTTACTAGTAATAAAGTTATTATTAATATAATACTAAGAGCTATAATAATATATACGTCTAGCCTAGATACTTTCGCTTATACATAAGCAGCTATAGTCAGGTTTGGCGCAGGTAGTTATTCCAGGCCCCTAGGTATATACTACAATCTTCTTACTGGACGAATCACCGGCCGAAGTGCTCTTACTGGATTTATCTACTGTGGACCCTCTTATAGGGTGGGCTATGAAACTTCCTCAACATGACTCTTACAGAAAAGTTCCGGTATCGGATCCGTCGAGTTCGGGGCCAATCTATGTCACTCATCCGGTGTTCCCGCTCTACGGCAAGGATGTTGATTTCGACACTCAAAGCGGAGGAGGAAAGGGTTTGTCGCCGGGAGCTATAGCCGAAATTGTTGTAGGGATAGTTGTTGGACTTCTTGCTCTGGTTGGAGGTGTCTTGTTCGTCGGCTTGCGAAAGAGGAGACAGAAAAGGGACGAACGTTTTTCTCAGTCTGAGGTTACTCCTACAGAAGGAAATCACAACTACCAAGGTGTGACTTATGATAGCAAGCACGGTGTTCCGGGCTATGTCCCTGAAGACAGAGAGATGGAAATTATGTACCCGACGCCGATTGAGCTATCCTCAAATACAAGGGCGGCAGAGGTAGAAGGGAACAGTCGTCCCATTGAAGTAGCATCGTAAGAGTGTCTCGAAGTAATTGATATGGAAGCCTTTCGCCGCTCAAGAGACGTGTCCCGGCTACCAATTGTCGTCACTTTGTGATGTTTCCTACGGTTTGTCAAGATCCGTCCGAGGCCTTGTGAGATTGTTCAGTCATTGTGATGATCTCCTGCGTAACGACAGCCGACAACAATACAGGGATATCTCTTCGCGGACACTCGAATTTTCCGATATCGAGGAAGTTGGGAGCTCATTCAGTAGAGGGTTACGCGGCAGGGGTCTTCCGATTCTTCCAGACAGTCACCACCAGAGACTCATCATCATATCACATCAAATTACAGATACGGAACCAAAATGTGATAACGAAGTTGTATTGTGCGTTATCAATCGCCCCTACAAAGCCCTATCGTTCTCCTTGTAGTATGTGGATCGAGCCCTGTGGAGTGAATCAGGCTATGTAGTCACATCAACCTTGCTGTTCCTTCCCTCTCCCTTGTCTCGTTCCGTCTCTCATCGTCCCTCGTCGTCTCTCATCGTCCCTCGTCGTCTCGCTCCGTCCCTCGTCGTCCCTCTTCGTCCCTCTTCGTCCCTCTCATCTCGGTCTCGCTTGTCTCCTAGGCGGCTTTGAGTTTGTCGACATGGCCAACGAGACTTGTGACAAGATCGCTATTGTCAGCGATATAGCTGAATTGGACCTTCATATCGGTGTCGATTTGACTGAAAGGGGTCTGCGACTCTCTGACCGTGCGCAAGGAAATCTCGGCGTCCCCAAAATGGTCTTCATCATCCATCAGGACGTGAAGGTATCGGCCCAACATCCTGACGAGTTCCTTGGTCTTTCCGACACATTGGTTGACCGTTTTGCGCATTTTGGCAAGGTTGTTTTCGATGCCTTCGAGGTCTAATTGTAGACCGGCGAGCGCGTCCAGGCGAACACACGCCTGAGCCCTTTGCTCATATTGGGGTGTCAGGTGCTGTTGTGTGACGGCGTAAAACAAGACGCTGTTACCGGGAAGGCCCTGTGAGAGCTGGCTCCTGATCATGGGAATCTTGTCGTTCAGCTTGCCCTGGTCGTTCGCGATGTTTATGCTGTAGATCAGGATCAGCAGATCTGCCAGGTACTTCTTGCATCCCTCGACGGTTCGAAGGAGCTTGTCCCGGTTGGTTTCCCTCGTGCGCTTATCGGTCGTCCGGCCCATGTCGCAAGACAAGCCATCCTTCACGCACTTGAGGCAAGCATTGCGGCGGTCCTCATCTGGTGTGCAACGGAGCTTCGAGGTTCTGCAATTAGAGCAGCTTTTACTGCTCACTTTTCTTTTGGTGGCAGCCTGCTTTTTCACCCTGTTGCCCGCGGTGTTGGGCTTGAGGGCTTCAGGGACGATGAGAGGCTGAGGTGGGGCCCCCACCCCGAAGTTGTTGTTGCTGCTGCCCTTGTCGTTGCCGTTGCCCTCGTTGTTGCCGTTGCCGTTGCCGTTGTTGGAGATCGGGGCCGGTCCCGGCCACATGCTCTCCATGAGTCTTGGGTCAATGTTCTGGGCGGCGGGGACGCGGGACGGCTGGGGAACGGAGGGGAGCTGTGGGTAGGCTTGGGAGAGGAAGGGGGTCTGTCCGTTGTTCACTCTCATGTCTCCCTCGAAGCCCAAGAGGTTGTTGGGGCCCAAAATGTCGCGACTGTAGGCGTCCATCTCTTCTCGGGAGAGGCGGCGGGAAATGTCGTCGTAGTTGGCCTGGGGGCGCGCTTGTGAGTAGAAGGAAGCCTGTTCATTGTTCGCCTCGTCGGTAGCGACGGCTACCATGTCTTGCTCGGCGTCCAAGAGGTTGTTGGGTGGCGACTGGGCGTCAATTCGGAGTGCTTCGGTGAGCCTCTCGTAGAAGAATACATCCTCCTCTTCTACGTGGAAGTTAAAAAATTCCTCGTGGGTGGCCGGGGGGAAGGCCTGGGGGTGGATTTCATTGTTAGAACTAACAACGTCGTCCGAACCCGCTTGGGTGACGCCCCTCTCCATAAATTGCTCGTTTTGACTCTGGTAATCCATTGGTTCGATATGTCGATAGAGTCAGGGGGTGTATGTAGTATTGCCCGCTGATTAGGCCACACGGGGTAACAGGGGGGAGGGGTAGAAGTGGGAGTGTATACGATGAAGCCGACCACGTGTATACAGGTTATTCAGGCGAATAGAAGGGCAGTGATTTATCGTGACGATGATGGAAGACGAGAGAGAATCTGACCTATCGTTACGATGATGCAGAGAAGGAAAGAAACGAGGCAGACTCCTCGAGCTGCGAGATTTTCTCTATATACTATGGCACTAGGAACCTCTCGAGCTTTTGGCATGTAGGTATACAGACCTTTCAACTCTCGACAGCCATTTCACACCTGTAAGTTGTCTGGTGATTCCACCGATGACTCTGGCTAGTTGCCACCCCATTTGGGTTGACCACATTGCACCTTCTATGTTCACGACTTGAGGCTTCACGACGCCGCCCAGTTGAGTTTACAGTCCGTATTGAAGAAGATCAAAGGGGTTTTGAAGCTCGATGAGAATGTGGCATTGGCAGCTGCGCACCAATGACGAGGGCACGACCTGCTCCATAGCCATCCATGCGCGTCTATCCTCTGGAGTACTTCATCTGTAGCCGGCTGAAAAATACCAAATGGCCCCAGATATCTGATTTCAGAAGATATTTTGTTCGGGACCTGCGTAGACAATAATACGGGCGAGTGAGTAAGTCTTGAGCCTGTTGGCCATGAGTTGGGGCATTGCTGGCGAGCGAGACAGTGTAAGCAACACGATAAGATGCTGAAGGTTTGTAGGGGAAAGCTTGACGACGCCAGAGAAGCAAAAAGAAGCGCTGAAGAGGTGTTCTGCCGGTGTGGATGGGTAAGAAATGCAGAAAATGACGGTGTTATGCGCATATCAAGTCGACTTACACGCCTGCCCAGGCACCAGGGTTTACCGAATTGTCAGGGTGGACAGGCAATTTTTCGGGTTCCGTCATAATTCTCAAAAACTTCACTACAGACTCGATTGGAATGCTATCAGTTTGGTTCAAATTGGATGCGCAGTCGCGAGCAATTGAGAACATCCCGCGATTTCTGCTGAGCGATGTCGTCAAAATTATCGGGGCGCTGCGCTTACATTGGAATCAGGGGCAGTCAGGCACTGGTAACGAGAGCCAGGGGAGCGATTAACCTGATTGGGCTGCTGGACGCCCTCGCACGGGTGTTCCTGGAAAAATCGGGGACATGTGCGTCCGCGGAAAATTTTAAGGTTCCCCGCAAGCCATCTCCGCCAGGTACCCTTGTCCGTAAAACAACGACAAGTGATTTACGAACCAGCGGGATAGGAGTGTAAGTGGCCGTAAATGAGCGTCGAGCGCCGCCCACGGCCATCAATTGGCGAAGAAAACGTCACAATGTGAGTCAAGTGCGCATCTGAATCTTTTCCGGCAAGGTATACAGCACGAGCTTGATGGCGGTGCTTTGCTTTGGCCCTCCTGCTCTGACCGCCCAGAACGCTCTCCGGGTGTGAAGGGGCCAAAATTTTATGCCTGGGAGACGATTTCAACCCTTTTGGTGTTTTTCTCATAATCACCCTGTAGTACTACATGGGTCATCGAAGAAGCATCTGGAAAAGAGAGAGAGAGAGAGAGAGCACATCCGGGTTAGTGCTGCGCTACCGAAGACGGGGCGCCCTCTCCTCTACCCTTCCCTACCTTTCGAGACTGAGAAGAGAGACTGGGAAGAGAGACTGAGAAATATGAATTGGTAGACAGATAGTGGACATGAAAAGGACAAGGTAGAATATGCGTCGGTCGCGATCAAGGAATGGGCAAGACGGCTGTTGGACGATGGCTGGGTGTCTGCAGACTCTCAGGGGGCGTTCATATCCTGCTAGCTTGACCACGAGTTTCTTCTAAAAGAGAGCAGTGCATCAATAGTTTTGATACTCGCATGATTGCATCTTGATGGCAAGCGTCTGGACGGCCGTCAATTGCAACACCTGCGTTGGATCAATGCGAACGAAGGATCCAAGGAGTCGCTGCCCAGCCAGGTTAAGCGACCCACCCAATTGACAAACTGACGCTGTGTATCTGTCGCTGGTGTTTTTTTGTTACTATTGAAGAGGTCGTGCTATGGGAGGAGGTGGGGCTTCAGTCAACCAGTGTCTGTTTATGTGGGATGCAATCACAGCAGTTGATTTTCAGGGGTGGATATCACAACATAAGTGAGGCTCACGCCCATTTAGATATCAGCACAAATAATAGATCTAACGCAGTACATCTCAAACTCAATTACCGCGAAACAAATAAAATGCGATAGCAATATCAAAGGTCAAAATAGCAAAAGAGTTCACCCATCGGTGTGGGCTAATCTCTGGTGCACATGCTGGGAATTTTCGATCGATCGGTATTTTTTGCCTGTCGTCGCGTAGGCTCGAACCCATATCCTCCACACCACCCTCCTTGATCCTAGACCTCATACCATTGTGCCAGCGGTCAAGGCGTCCCTTGGCCGCTGACGAACGAGTTGGTCTTGCGTTGATCTAAATGCCCCCGGGTCCTGCTTTTGCTGTAGTTCGTATAGTTCGTTGTGCTCGTGGTTGACGCGATTTTTTGTGTTATGCCCTCACCTTACGCGACTGCCTGGCCGGGGGCCCACGTCCTCTCTCAGCTGCCACGTGAGGCGATAGCGCAGCTGCGAGTATTGTAGCATTCTCTGCTGGTTTCTCTGTATTAATTGAAGCTGACGATATTATCCTCCCTCTTCGGCCTGAAGTTTTCCTTCTCGCGCATTTTCATCTCACTACAACGCCGGGCCATTTACTTGCCATTGCTCCTACTCTTTGCTTGGGAATCACCCACGCCCCGAGAGAAAACAACAACTAGACACAGCCCCAAAATTCACCTGGAAACCGATCTTCATTCATCCGACCCAATCTTTCTGCCCATCTCACTCACCCTTGTGAATTTGAGTCTATCGTGACAGCTCCTCACACGTCCCCTTTCGCAGTCCCCCTTCCCTCTCTGCCACCCCTGCCCCTCGCCCACCCCCCTGCCTGTCAAGTTTCTCCCACACGCCCCTGAACTTACACCCCACCCTACCTACCTGTTGGCTCCTGTACAGTCTACCTTGCCTCACTTTAGTTGCGCACACCCTGCGCACACCCTTCCTTCCTTCCAAGTGTCCGTAGCAATGTGAACAAAAGTCAAATGGACAATTGCTCGACAGTCGGAACCCAGTGGCCCTCGCCCTGAGCTGTTGCTGGAAGTGAATCATCCACCTGAGGTACGTAGGTACTATGGTCAGAGGAGCCGTGACTGCCTCAAGTCTGAAAATCTCGCTCCTTCCTGGCTTCATCCTGGCCCCTTCCCAGCACCGCGCTGACAATGAGAGGACGCAAGAAGGGCCTTGCTGCTCACCAACCGGGTTGACACCAAGGTCATGTACGCAAAAGATTCGCTATCAGCAAAGTGTGGTGGCCTGTGGAGAGAGAAGGTGGGTTGGGCAAGTACCTGCTGCGTACGGTTCTTTCCGATAACTTCCACGGACCATCTTCACCCGGCCTACACCGAAAGATCTGAACTCTATACATGGGTGAAAATTTGTTCTTACTCAGCGGTAGACTTGAGAACTTTCTAGAGGTACCTGGCAAAGCTGGTCCGGATACGGAAGCATACGGCAGCGCTCCAGGTGCTTCGTATGAGTGGCATTCCCGAGGTTTCCGTTGCGACGAAGTTTCAGTACCATACCTAGGCACCTAGCAAACGAGGTGAGGTGTTTGAGAAATGCCATTGCCCGAGAAACTAGGTGGGCGACAGTTTTGCTGCCACAGGTCACCGAACTCCATACCGATAGCGGGAGGCACTTGAAGAAAGACATCGTCTTCGTATTTCGTGCTGCGACTTAGGTAGCTGATCAATTGGTGCCCAAATGTCGCCAAATTCTGTCCTTAGGGAATGGATAGTGTGTTGCAAAAGTACGAGCCATGCAGAAGGAGCCGATGCCTCCAGAACAGCAGCGGCAGCAAACCTAAATGGCACAGCCAAAGCACCAGCCGCTCTATAGGGGATGTTCAGCCTCGGAATCGTAGCCGCACCATCTATGACCTTCGTTTGGCGAGGAAAGGTACCGGTATCGGTGGCTGTGATACCAGGGCGGGTACCTGAGAAGCTGCTGGGTGAAGAGGTGGTGCCTCGGTACATCAGGCGAGGGCGAAGACAACCCCTGGCGGAGGCACCTTGCCAGCTTGACTTGCCCAGCCCACTGTATGGTTTATCAAGGAGTGAGTCGCTCGCCCTTCCGAATCCCAGATAACTAGCTCGCAGTTACTGGGCGTGCATGGCTGAACACGTTAATCTCTAAGTGCAAAATCCTATGTTGGGTTTTCATAGGATTGACCCAGGGCCCTGGCTTCGATCCGAACTTTTTGACCTTTTTTCGTTTTCTTTTTTCTTGTTACTTTTTCACCGATTCTTTTTGCTGATTCCAGGTCGATAGACAGCGATTGTGAACTGAGAGGTAAGAGCACTTAGGAGCCCATCGTTTGGACGGACGTCTGGGCAGACAATCTGGCTCTGACGAGCGGGAATACGCTTCTAACAAGCTGCGCAAGCAGTACGGAGTTTGCAGGACGAGTATGACCTGGATCTTCATTAGCCCACATCCCTTACTTTTCACCTAAAGGTGACTTACAGCCACGGTCTGATGAGGCCACTCGTAGTACAGAGTGTAACTCAAGAAGTGATTCCCAGTTCTGAAGGCTTGAGTGACGCTGGAATGACACTTACTGAGCTCGCGTGTGCCGCAGTTTTCGCACTTGCTAGCTCACCCATGGTGAGAAAGAAGGCAGAGAGCAAAAAGGGTTGATGAGAGGCTGACTTCCCGATCTGAAGACAAGCAGATCTCGTGAAACAGAAGGAAGGATCTGTCTGGGTACAGAAAAGTGGTCGCCTAAAGCATGTTACTCAAAGGCTACATGCTCTACATGCTGTCAGTGAGCGACTCGATATCCCGGAAACAAGTACACGGTAG